CGACTCCGGTTCGTCGAGGAGAACGAGCAAGATCATGCTCTCTCCAAACTGGAGACTTCCGCCTATCACATGGGCACAAAGGATGTCTACCAGTACACCGACGACTCGAGGACCTGATGGACCTCGCCGGATTCGAAGACGCATTGGTCAAGGTGACCAAGTTCCGCCACGGACTTGACCCCCTGATCAACAACGGAATCACGTCCTCGAACGACCCCCGGACCTCCGGGATTACCTTAGCTGGCGCACCCGGGCCTTCCGTCAATACGAGGCCCTGGTCCGGGCCAAGCTGATCAAGTCAGCCGCCCCCAAGACGCCTGGCGGTTTGATTCGGACTCCGTTTCCGGTCAACCGCATCCCGGCTCCGGCCCCTTTCCGCCCGGTGGCTCCGGTCGTGCCACCCGCGGCCCGCGCCCCGCCCGGCGCCTCCAGCTCCTGTCCCTATGGAGTTGGATCGCACCAGGGCTCGGGGTGCCCCTCGTCGCGCCTGCTTCAGGTGCGGCGACCCAAACCATCTCGCCGGGATTGCCCCTCCCCGCCGATGTCCGCTCAATGGACATCCTCGACGAGGTGATCCAACAACTCGGTGACGAGATGTTAGCGGAGTTGATCGCCCGCTACACGGACACAGCTGCCCTGCCGGAGACGGCAGCGGAGTCGATGGCCGGAGAGGATTTTGTCCCCCGCGACGAGTGACTGGTGTGCCCTCGTTCGCGTCTATAAATCGTTTTGCCTCTTTGTATGATGAATGCAGTTCCTTGCCCTACAATGAGCCCGAAACGAAAGACACACCCTCTCCTGCCCCCGCCTCGACTCCGTCTCCGACTCCGCCCGCGACTCCGGTCATCGTCCTCCGCCGCCTCACTGCCTGGGAAAAGAAACTGCCCAAGCAGTACACCGTTGCCGCTGCCCCTGGGGCGAACTCCCTCCACCTCCCGTTAGAGCTCGAGTCCACCACCAGCGCTGCGCTCTCACTCTCTGGGCTTGTCGACTGTGGTGCCACCTCCGACTTCATTGACACGAACTATGTTGCTCGGAATGGCATTCCGGTCCCACCCTCGATCAGCCGATTCCGGTTTTCAATGTCGATGGCACCCCCAATGACGCTGGCTCCATCAAACAGATCGCGGACTTGGTCCTGCGCTACAAAGGGCCATGCCGAACGAGTTCAGCTGGCCGTCACCCATCTTGGCAAGCAAGACCTCATCCTGGGGTATTCCTGGTTGCGGAAACATAACCCAGAGATCAATTGGGAAACCAAGGAGGTCAAGATGACACGGTGCCCCCGCAATTGCTCGACCTGCCGTGAGGAAGAACGGGTCGAACGGACCGAGTTGCGGCGACTCCGGTCCTTCGAGAAGCGTCTCCGCTCCGGCCCGTTCCCCTCGGTCTGCGCCATGGACCTTTCTGGGTCTGATGACGGAGACGACTCCGTCTCCGGTGACGACTCCGGCCTGCCTGATCTGACGCCGGACCCGACGACGACGATGACGATGGTCAGCTTGAAGATGGTGACCGCATCTTCTACACCTCGTTCCGCCCCTCGGAGGAGATACACGCTGGCAGTACTGTCTCGCAACGCCTGGCCGAAGCCTTCGCCAGGAACTCCGCCCCTCCGCCCTCCGAGATCCCGGACTGGGCTAAGGAGTTCCAGGACGTCTTCAACAAGGAGTCCTTCGACACGCTACCGGAGCGGAGAGCCTGGGACCACGCCATTGAACTCGTCCCCGACGCTAAGCCCACCAACTGCAAGGTGTACCCCATCTCGCCCCTCGAGCAACGCGAGCTCGACGCGTTCATCGAGGAAGGGCTTTCGACGGGCCGGATTCCCCTCCAAGTCTCCGATGGCGTCTCCGGTCTTCTTCGTCAAGAAGAAGGAGGGCGGGACTCCGCTTCGTCCAGGACTACCGTGCTCTCAATGCGATGACTGTCAAAAACCGGTACCCCCTTCCGCTGATCAACGACCTCATCAACCGGCTCAAAGGCGCTCGTTACTTCACCAAACTCGACGTCCGTTGGGGCTTCAACAACGTCCGGATCAAGGAAGGTGACGAGTGGAAAGCGGCTTTCCGGACTAACCGAGGCCTGTTCGAGCCCTTGGTGATGTATTTCGGCCTGACAAACTCTCCCGCGACGTTCCAAACGATGATGAATGACATTTTTCAGGACCTCATCCTCTCCGGAGACGTCATGATCTACCTTGACGACATCTTGATCGCCCATTCCGACCTCCGGAAACACCGGCAGATTGTTCAGGGAGGTCTTGCGGCGACTCCGAGAGCACAAGTTGTACCTCCGAGCGGAGAAGTGCGACTTTGAAAAATCGTCAATCGAGTACCTCGGAGTCATCATCTCCCACAACCACGTCGAAATGGACCCCGTCAAGGTCGCAGGCGTCTCCGCTTGGCCGACTCCGGAAAACAAGAAGGACATTCAGCAGTTCCTCGGGTTCGCTAACTTCTACCGCAGGTTCATTCGGGACTTCTCGACCCTTGCGCGCCCTCTTTTCGTGCTCACCAAGAAGGACCAGCAATGGACTTGGGGCGACGCGGAGGCCTCCGCGTTCCAAGCGATCAAGGACGCGGTCACCTCGGAACCGGTCCTGGCGATTCCGGATGACACACGGCCTTTCCGACTCGAGGCGGACAGCTCTGATTATGCGACGGGGGCGGTTCCTTTCACAATCCGCCCCGGACGGGAAGTGGCACCCTGTAGCATTCTATTCCAAAAGCTTAAATGATGTCCAGCGCAACTACGAAATCCACGACAAGGAGATGCTCGCGATCATCCCGCACTCGAGGAATATAGACACTTCCTCGAGGGCGCCGCGCACCCTGTCGAGATTTGGACTGACCATAAGAATTTGGAGTACTTCAGGAAGACGCAACACCTCAACCGGAGACAGGCCCGGTGGTCTCTGTACCTCTCCCGGTTCGACTTCACGCTGCACCACAAACCTGGCCGCGATATGGGTCGGCCTGACGCCCTCTCCCGGAGACCCGACCACGGAGTCGATTCCGACAACTCCGACGTCGTCCTTCTGCGGCCTGAACTCTTCCACGTCCGCGCACTCGAGGGCGTTTCCGTTCCGGTCCCGGCTCTGAACTCCTCCGTGACATCCGTGATGCCCTCTCCGGTGAGCCTGACCTGGAGGAGCCCGTCGCACTAGCGGCCCGGCAACTTCTTAAGGTTCAAGGTCAAGCTCGAGGCCCCCGCTCCTCACGTTCTGACGAGTGGGCCGTCTCCGGCGGTCTTCTCCATTTCCGAGGAAAGATCGTCGTACCAAAAGACAAGGACCTCCGGAGACGCATCATCGAGCTCTGCCATGACACCCGAGTCGCCGGACACGCAGGTCGTTTCAAGACCCTGGAGTTGGTCTCCCGGAACTACTGGTGGCCTCAGATGTCTCGCCATATCGGCCGGTATGTTGCGACCTGTGACTTGTGCTGTCGCACCAAGGCACTCCGGAGACTGCCCCACGGAGAACTGCACCCCACGGAAACGCCTCCCGAACGCTGGCATACCGTCTCCGTCGACTTCATCGTAGAGCTCCCGAAGCCCATGGGTACGACGCGATCATGGTCGTCGTTGACACCCTCGGAAAGCGCGCCCACTTCTCAGAGTGTCATACGACGGTCGATGCAGTAGGGGCAGCCCGCCTCTACTACCGGAATGTCTGGCGGCACCATGGGACTCCGGAGAAGTACGTCTCCGACCGCGGCTCGCAGTTCATCGCGGACTTCACCCGAGAACTTTGGCGTCTAATCGGCATCAAGCCCGCCACGTCCACCGCGTACCACCCGCAGACAGACGGTCAGACAGAGCGCGTCAACCAAGAGCTGGAGCAGTACTTGCGGATCTTCACCAACTACCAGCAGGACGACTGGGATGAGCTGATTCCGGCCGCGGAGTTCGCCTACAACAACCACGTTCACTCCTCCACGCAGCAGGTCCCCTTCATGACGGACACGGGACGGCTCCCCGCATGGGCTTCGAACCCGGAGTCCGTTCCGCCATGGAGTCAGTGAACGAGTTCCCGACCGGATCGCCACTGGTGTTGCTGAAGCCAAGGCCGCGCTCACTAAGGCCAAAGAGGAGTACAAGCGCTACTACGACCGGAGACGGACTCCGTCTCCGGAGTTTAAGGTTGGCGACCGTGTTTGGCTGGATGCCTCTGACATCAGGACGACTCGCCCCTCGGAAAAGTTCTCCCATCGCCGCCTTGGGCCGTTCAAGATAGTCCAGGAGATCAGCAAAGGTGCCTACAAGCTCGACCTCCCTCCGCGCTACTCGAAGCTCCACCCGGTCTTCCCCGTCGTCAAGCTCGAGCTCGCTCAGGACGACCCCTTCGACGGACGCCCCGGCTACGACCAGCCCCCTCTGGACCTCGAGGACGGAGTCCCGGAGTGGGAAGTAGAGGAAATCCTGGACGCAAGGGTGAGGTATAAGCGGCTGAACTACTTCGTCAGATGGAAAGGCTACGACGCATCGCACGACCAATGGGTCCGCTTCGACCGCGTCTTCGCCCCGGAGAAAATTGCGGAGTTCTATCGTAAGTACCCTGGCAAGCCCACGACACATCGCCTCCGCGACCTTCGACTCGATTCCGTTCCGGTCTATGCGTCGGGACGCCGCATTCAAAGGGGGGTGATGTCAGGGGAACCTCCCTTTCGGCCCCTCGGAGACGCCTCCGATTCCGGTCCGACTCGGTTCCGTCTCCGGCCCGGCCCTCCATCTCGCCCGCACAATCACCGATCCGTCAACGCCCTCCCGACGGTCGCCCTGGGACCTCGCCTGCGACGCCGCCCAAGCCTTCTGTGCCCGACAGCGGCAGCTACGGACAAGCAGTATATAGCCAGCTACCTAGCAGGCGGACCCTTAGAGTTTCTTCTCTTTGGATCCTCCCCTGCTAGGTCAGCTTCATTTGTATTCGCTTACCAATGTTCACGCTTTGGATCCTCCCCTGCTAGGACCTTGATCTCAGGCCTCCGGGGTTGCCCTTACAACGAGACGGTATTGTAACCCACCACCGCCATGGAATCGTGAGGAACTTCCGGTTGTGGGAAGCGCGGGAGTTCTTCGAGATGAGACATGCATTGCTCGTACGACCACGATATGCTTCGCCCATCGTATATCGGAACTGCATTTACATCAGCATAAGGAACGGCCGTTTGACAGACATACCAGTATCAGTGAAGTCGAGCTGGTCTCGCCCGACTAGCCCGACGGACGAAGGTGCACGGGTTGAAGCCGTAGCGAAGCAGGGATTGTCGTCTTGTTCATCGTCCGATGCTGTTCAACATTAACTAACATCAACGGCATACAAGAATACTTACGTTCTTTGACCTCACGGTTTGTCGAAAACGTGACGATCCCCTGTCGTATCTGGACCGCAAACTCCGGTTTTTGCAACACCATACAAGTGAAGGACGCGAGCCGTTCGGACTCGCCGCGAGGTATCATGCAGGTGATGCCCTTTTCTCTGACACCTCCTCCAGCGGGCTGGCCGACATTTAGAAAGGAAGTGGACACTCTGACAACTGTCGTCATCGTGGCGACAGCGTTGAGTTCGGCGACGCAAATGGTATATCTAAAACAGAACATCAGAGATCACTTGCATATCAAAAAGCAAAAGAAATCGAACCGTGGTCGGAGCCCAGTGACTGGACGCACGGCAAGTACACAACGGGGAGACGCACGCGATCTGTTGACGAATGACTGGAACATCACGGCTTGCAAAGAGCTGATCAACAACCTGACACGCACACATACCGTTAGAAGGAATGAAGAGAAAGAAGATAGACGAACTTACTGGCCATTGGTGTTCTCCATGGTAACTTCGCTCCGAAGTTGTTCGTAGGTGTAATTAACCGCTTTTTCTTTACTCCAAGACCGCCACGTGCCCTGCCTAAAAATATATATCAGCGTAGAAAGATTGAAGGACATAAAACGTACACCAATGGCGGGAGCGCTTGGAATACAGCGAGTTGAGATGCTGGAATGTATTTGATGAAATTTGGCGTAACCTCGCAGTTAATCGGCAAAACCCTGGAATGAATTTCAGTAAATTTGCTGGATCGGGTGGGATACATACGGCAAAGGCAGTGTTGAAAAGGAAACATTATCAATATATTTGGAAGGAGGGGGTGGAGAGTCTCTGGTATCCATAGTCTTAAACGGCGGAGGAGGCGTTGAAGAGTTATCGTCGTCAGCCAAATCATCGGAGGGAACGCTAAAGATAATGAACACATATAACAACAGTTGGAGATATTCACGAACCGCTTGCGCTTGCCTTTATCCACACTGTTCAGAACAAGAGATTGACTAGCTTCCGCAACTCTGGGACCGAGGGGAGACATCGTAAGTGCCGACGACCCAGCTGCAGCGTGGTCGACAACGCTGATCACAGTGAGCAACAAACTAAAACGCAAGTGGTCGTACCTAGCCGTTAGAGTGGAATCAAGTACCGAGGGCATGGGAAAAGACCCATGCATACGGGCGAGATATTCGCTGTAGGACTTTAATCACTGCACTGACCAGAAAAAGAAGAAATTGCGTACGTGATTCCGGGGAAAGTAGATTCTAACAAATTAAAATTCAGAGGGGCCGCCGCCATACTTGGTGTTCCAGAAGCGCCTCCAGAGGCAGTGGTACTAGTAGTAGACGGCGGGACAAAAGTGACTGGGAGAGAGGTAGATAGAGGCGGCATATTGGACAAGTGCGGAGTACTGCAATGCATCGGTTTTGACATTCGGATTGAGAAATGGACAAACCTAGCGGCAGCCGGTTGGACGATCAGATGCGACTGAGTGTCTGGTAATTGATCTCCAAGTGCAAAGGTATGCTGTGAAGAGGTACGGGGTATAGAAGGAGAGGGTTGACTGAGTCGATTGGAGATAAGCGAAAAGTATTTTGGATTAGCAACATACCTCGAAACTGCAGAGGTTACCAGAACTTTGCCGCGCGTGTCAGTTTGAAAACTGCAAAAACGATTAATGAGTGATTTACTCGACACAGAGCTAACTGACAACGAATTCAACGCATTAGAATTGCCACCCTTGCTTGAAGACGACGCGGCTGCACGTGCCGTGTTATTCTTGCCAGCAGGAGTAGGCGATAGGGTATCGACGACTTTGAGGCGTGAAAAGAGAGAGCTGTTAGTTAGAGAAGGAATTAGCAATTGCAATACCGTATCTTTTTTGGCAATCTTGGCTGTCGTAGACCGAGTGCTTCGTCCGGAAGGAACCGGAGCACTATGAGGAGTCAGTGAAAGACTATATTTTCGCGAGAGGACGAACGACTTGGTTTTAGCAGGGGGGGTTGCGGGAGGATCTGAAAGATCCGAGCTGGAGCGTACGGAAACCGTTTTACTAGTGTAAATGGTGAGCAACACAAATAAGAAACACTAATATAGTGCGTTTACTTCACTTCATCTTCAGGTGGGTTTGAACCTTGCGTTTCTGAAGACGTATGTGAATCGGCGTTCGCAGCGTCGTGGGGTACCGAGCTGGCTCCAGTGAAGAAGGAGGAAAGGAAATCCTCGCGAGGAGGTATATGAGACATGAAGTTGGTTGACTATGAAGGAGAAGAGGAGAATACTCATATAAGTGACGCCGTTCGTCAGGAGTACCCAAGCATTCGATCGCATACAGCTGATGCAAAAACTGTGGTTGCCAGGAACCCGGAGCATGTCGCCAGGTTAGAGCTGATGCAGGGTAAGCTCCTTAAATACCCTGTCGCTGTTGCAAAGTCGCACTTTGACCGAATCCCGAGATGACACACCCAAAGCCAACTGACGCTGAAATGAGTAAGTCAGAGCAGATAAGCGAGAAGGAATTAACAACTACACTCAGCTGAAGCGATAGTAAAATGGCAAAAGGTTATGGTGGACCTCCCTAAAGATACCCAGATAGGCACCCCTGGAACTCAATGCGAAGTTAGTACCTTGTATCCTGAGAGATACGGCGAAGTACTCACGCTATTAGATTAAGAACATATTCATACGCGATGTGGCCGACGGAGCGTTATTCAAAGCGATGGCTAGAACGGCAAAAGGGGGGGCCGAGGAAGCCATATTCACAGTGGTCGGCGTTATCACCGATAAATCCTTACCACCGGTCAGTTGGGATAAGTGAGTGATCATTTCTTGACGACTCACTAAGTGGACTCCTCCATAGCGCAAAACATGCTGCCAGCGGCACGTTGACACAAAGCGTCACTATAGCAGGATATGACACAGACGCGTTCACTAAGGCCATAGGTTTAGCTCGCAAGGTGCAAGAACTCTTTCACGACAAAGTGGACGACGCACCTATAGTATCTTTCACTGGGTTGGCAAATTCTGAAGAATACGGACTTACGCTGACGGCCGATACCCGATATTTCACGCGTTCGACGAAGAACATTCCCGAAGACGCTCGGGTCCGTCCAGAACATCATGTCGACCCCCGCGGTATATTGGCAGAACGGGAGAGCGACAAACTGGCTATTTGCGCTGACAATATTGTGGCGTACCTGCAGTTAAACGATCAGGAGTAAGCAAATAACTTAAGTGGATGCTCGGTACTCACTTCCTGCTGAGGGTTGTTCTCAGAGATCCCACCGCCTTCAAATTTAAGGACGTTGTGGAAGTAGGCTTCACTCTCCACACATATCGAACATTTTCGCCCGACCTAGGTCCTCGCTACAAATGCAAGGTGGTACTGAGGAGCTTGATCCACCTAGATGCGATGTTTTCGAAGGTGAGATTGACACGGCAGGTGAATGTTAACTGAAATACCTGCTAGCGCATTGCCGCCGCTAAACGCTTGGAATTAAAGCGGAGAATCGACGAGGAGACCAATAAATCTGCGGAGGATAAGCGATGGAAGAGAATGCGAAAGAACGCCAACCCAATAGCTATGCGCTTCGCTGGGAAAGGGAAAGCAAAGGCGATAGAATTCGACAGCGAGACGGATGAGGAGCAGAGTGTGACGAGAATGGAAGAACTGAGAGTTCAATAGTCCTTGATGTGTACGGTTCAAAGCCAGGCAAAAGCCATACAGTGAAAAAGCGAGAGGACGTTAACGGCATGAGAAGCACGTCACACCCAGGTCACTAACAGCCTTTTACGGTGAACGTATACATTTTGCGTCAAGCCTTGCAAGTAGGGTTAGGGTCAGAACTGATAATTTCATTACAAAAATAGATTACTCTAGTCTCTAGATCGAGGTCCTGAAACGCGGACGACAGATATTGATAGACGATTACATAAGTACTCGTAATCTGCATTTATATACCGCTACAAGCACACTAACTGCTAAGACGCGGTGGCCAGGACAATAGAGCTGTTTGGCTGCTCGATGGGGTGTTGCGCCGGGTTTTGGTTCAGGCTGGTTGTGGTGTAGCAAATGGCGGGGAGGATGTGATCGTGACGACTCTATTTTTTGGATAACTCGCTACAAGTCGCTACATCGCTACATCTCATCTTCGTACGGCCGAATACCACTCATTCTTTCCATGAACTCCCGAACCTCTGTCTCAGCAAACACCGCAGCCTCCTGAGCAACGATAAGCTTTTTCTCCAATTCATCTGCCGTCATATTCCTCACAACTCCGGCCTCCTCAACAATGCCAATGTTGTCAAATCGACGCAGGGTGTTCCCAACTCGAGGTAAGAACCCAAATCGATCCCAGCCATTGTCATTGAACGACAGCACTGCACGAACGGCTGCAGTATTGATGTCACGGTGTAACTCTTCGAGTTTGGAAAGCTGGACCTCCATCCACCGAGCACGCCGCTCAAGCGCCAACGTTAGCGCTTCGACATTGTTATCTCTGGAGTCGTCCAGGTTGTTGTCGTAGTCCCCACCCTTTAACATCTCCCCCAATACGCCATCAAAATAAGAGCTTTCGTCCCAGGTTGTACGAGGGAGAAGGCGGAGCAACGCGGAGATAGTTTGCGTCAACGTCTCTAACAACTCTTGGAAAGACGAGATGGCGGTGTCGGCAGGTCCCGAGGCAGTGCCATTGGCAAATGAACCGCTGCCCACCGAAAGCGCTGATAACGCATGAACCAATGGCCCATATTCAAGGGGCATCTTGCTAGCAGGATTGATCTTATGAACATCGAAGAAAATATGGTTCGGGAGGTCAAGCGAAGGATTCATCACGTGCAAATCCTCCAACAAATCTTCCAGAGTGGTTGGTAATGCATTTCCGTCTACGGATTGAGCACGAGAGTTGTTTGAGCTTCCAGTTGGGAAAATCGTGGTCTCGATGGCAGAGGTTGGTGGAAGTGTATTCGTGTCGTCAACAGAGACAGGTTGATGATGCTCTTCTCTGTGAACCTGCTTGATAGGTCGCACAACCGGTTTGTTCTTTTTCGGTTTTTTGGAAAGGAGCGGGAGCTGTGATACTGGTTCCTGGGTTGTGGCTGCAGACGTTTGCCGCGTGGTACCTTCCTTTTTCGCTTTTTGTTCGCTAGTTTTATTCTTCTTCTCCTCCGCCACCCTCTGCTGCTCCAATTTTGCTAAACGCTCCTTCTCCCTCGCTACTTTCTCCTTTTCTAGTCGCTCCTTGGCTGTTCGTTCTTGCTCTGTCTTCAGAGCTGCTGCTCGATCCTGCTCTGCCTTCAGCGCTGCTTGTTTTTCTTCCTTTTCTTGGGCTAAACGAGCACGTTCTGCAGATTTTATTGCTGCCTTTTCTTGTGCGATTTTTTGTCGTTCAGCGGCCTTTTCAGCGGCAGCAGCCTTCCTGGCTGCCTTTCGTTCGGCTTTTTCGGTGGCTTTGTCATCGATAGGAGAAGGAACTGGTTGTTGCTCGACAATTGGTTCTTCGCGTCGGAGTGTCGAGGAATCGACCGAGGTAGATGCAGTCAAAGCCGGGAAGTCGGCAGCCGAGAGTGAAGGGGAGTCCGTCGTCGAAGCTGAATCGGACACAACAGCAGGTCAGCGTCAAACTTGGTCGACGATCACCAGAGGAGGGAGATGGGCGATGATTCATTATGTAAGCCGGTCGGTAGAGAGTCCATGCGTAAGGAGAGTGAAGTTTGAATCAATGCCGATAATAGATTTTCCGCACTGAGAAAGCACGGCACTCGGTATCCTGATCTCCCTCCCCTTGGGATAAATGGAAATGAACTCACCATGTGCGGACCCATTATTCTCCACGTTCTCTAACACCCCATGTTGCAGAATACCAGGAGGTCCTCCATAGGAAAGGCCAGGAGGAGGCGCATAAGCCATTGGTTCGGTGTTGAATCCAGGTGGAGGCATTGACGGTGCAAAAGCGGCCATGATTGCAGGATCATTGAAGGATTGAGGGGGATTCATCCCAAACGGCGATGAAGATTCTAAAATAGCCAAAGGGGGGGAAGGAAATACAGATTCGGGATGGCGAAAAGTAGGTACAAAAGCAAGCAAAGAAGAAAAAGTTCCGTCAACATCGAATCTAGACTTCACACAAATAAAAGTGTCATACCAGCTGGTGGGTTCATGCCCGGGGCATTGGCACGTTCACGACTGCTTTGGATGAAATCGCGCAACTGAGCCTCACTGACTTCTGCGCCGAATGGTTGGAAACGACTCTGTTGCTGGTTATACGCCGGCTGTGCTTGAGCTGGGGGCACCAGAGGAGAGCTACCAGCAGAGCCATTCATCGGATAATACGAACTCCAGGGTGGAACAGCCGGTGGATGTGGTGGCTCCGCAGAGTTATAGAATGAGTGGCTTTCGCCAGAAAGAGGTGAAGGCACGTGAACGGGAGAGTTGGTGGCCGCCGTTGAACTCTGCCGCCCACGGGCGAACCCAAATCGGGACATTTTCCTACTCGGATCGTCATCGTACTGTGATCGTGACGCATCTTCGGCCGAGTCTGAAAATGGATTGAACGAGCCAAGATAGCTTGAACCGCCAGTTGACTGTCGCTCAATTGGAGTCATAGAAGGTCGCATTGATAACGGGTCGTATATCGAGCGACTGGGGTTATGTGAATAGGGTAGACCAGGAGGGGTCATGAATGGGGAAGAACCAGGAGAAACACCGGTGCGTAAAGCAGGGAACGCATCCATGTACGAGCCATGGAAAGGCATCTTGGCCTCTGATTCGAAATCAGGAAGCAGATCGACACCCTCGTCCGTTTCAGCACCAGCCAACTTAGGGTCAAGATTGAAACTGAAGCCCCCGCCTCCATCTTGCCCATTGAGAACTTCGAGGGTGCGGTCGAAATCGGGAAGAGGCTGGGCTACAGCCAACGGCTTCTCCCATCGCTGAGTGACATCGTCGAGTAGCGCACGTGCTGCTGTTGACATCTGATATGACGACTGGAACGACAACAACGGAGTTTGTGGTGACGCAGTAGCAACGCGTGGCGGGCGACTCGGTCCTGATATTCCTGGTGGGCCTGATAGACCGGGAGGAACTGCGGGAAGTCCTGGCGGTACAGATGGGGTTGAAGATGTTATTGAGTCGGCGGATTGTGGTCGGACAGGCGACACAACAGATCCAGCGTCTGAATCAGCAGCAGCAGAGGGAGCAGGAGAAGATGGCTGTTGCGCATCTTTCTTGGATCGAGGCGGTTTGTCCGCTGGAGTAACTGGTCGGACTGGTAATGATGCCGCGGGAGTAGATGGGCGGGAAGAAGGAGCTTGAGGCGTGGCTTTGGAAGCCTTTCGTTCTTTGACCGTTGATGCTGTCGAATTGGAGGCCACAGAACGAGCTTGTCTTGATCCACCACGACGTGATGAACGTGTTGAAGTAGGCACAGCCGCCGGCGCAATTGGCGCTGCAGTCGGTGTCGGTACTTTGGCCCAGGCAGAAGTTTTCGGCAAAGCTACGAGCAAGCAAGTTTCATCACTGAAGAGGAGAGTAAACAATGAACAATACCTTCGCCGTCCTCTTTTTTGCTCACGACTGTCCTGGTACGACTTTCCGTCGCCTTCATCGTATGTTTCCTGTCACGCAAGTTAAAAAGGAAACAGCCGAAAGAGGAAACACAAACAAGGTTGTTAAATCCTCTTTAGTGAAACAATCTTTCTCGTCACCCCATTCGTGTAGATTCATACAGTTGTGATCATTGCATGTGACGCCGCGAAGGAAGGCCATGCAATATTTTGTCGTGCCAAAGCTTGCTCGCATCACCTCCCGACCCCCACCAGGGGAGGCGGTTCCGTCAACGGCCGAAATGGCTCGAGCTGCGTCCTCCCGTCGATTGTAGGTGATGTAGAGGCCGACGACAGGCGCCCCGCCGCCCGATGGAGTCCGTTTCACCAAAAGTATTTTGGTGATCTTGCCATACTGGCCGAAGTACTCGTTTGAGCGGAGAGTCGGAATAAGCTGCAAGTTTTATCAGATTTTGACATGAAACCTACTACTACATACCTCTTCTTTGGCAAATCGAGGACCGATTCCAACCACATACACGATACTTCGTTGCACCACCCGGACATTCGCCAAGTGTCGCCGGCCGAGAGTATCCAGCTCCTTGCGCTCTCGCTCGCGCTGCTTCTTCTGTTGTGTAAGACGCTTATGACTGAAGAAAAATCACGTCAGAGTCCAGAAAGAAGAACCTTTGGAAAACATACTCTTGTGTGGCTATGGCCTTGAACTCGACAGCCTCGTCAGTATAGATCCTACGACATGCAGGACAGCGCTTGTTGAGGTTTTCCTTGATGTGATGCCAGCAGAATTGGCAAATCTGGAGACGATATGAGCGCGAGTCAAAGAACTATGAGCAAACGCATCACCTGGTAGCCACAGATACAAGGCTTGAAATTGAGGTCCGAGATGTCCATCTCCTCGAGACAAAGAGGGCATTCCGCGTCGTCCTAATCAGCGGTCAGCAACAAAAACGCGCGCGAAAAAGAGATCTGGCGAACAGCTTCATCATCGCTCCAATACGCGTCTTGGACACCAGCCAACACGGTCGACTTGGAGTGGGGAACGGAAAAACCGGCGTGAACGACGGGCGCTGGGAGAGGGTGAACAACTCGGGACATGGCGAAGATGAGGGTCTGAGCGAGAAGCAATGAGGCGTGACTTGTTTGGTCATGTTTATCAGGGCCCCCCAGATCACACCGCTTTACAAATTTAGGTCTGCTACATCTAAGCTCGTGTCCGTCGCCAACTCCGTCCTTGCTCTTGTTGATACAGCGCTTCATGGGTAAGATACGCGAGTTGATTGTTCTCTTGCGTATGCATAGCCCCAACATTTCCATCAGGAAGTGGTGGCGGTTTAAAGTTCTGACAGCAATGAATAAAAGCCTGAGAGCGAAGGCGGCTTACATATTGACGTCCTTCTCGGTACAGCTCTTCCAGCTTATTGTCGAATTCGCCCGCAGCCTCCAATTCTTGATACGCCTTATAAAGATTCAACGCCGAACGCGCATCTTCAATCGAGTCATGCGTATCTGTCTGGATGTTTTCTCCGAGAACAAACCACGACAAAAAGCGAAGGGAGAGACGCCGTTGCCTCGATTGTAGAAAGAACAGGTCGACAGTGTCGATGACTTGATCTGGCGGAACAAAAATATCTGGTCTCTTGATTAATAACCAAGGCCAAGAAGCACTAAAAGACATACTAATGATCCTAAAGTCTTTCGATAAGCCGTGGCCTATGAAGACGCATCCTCTGTCCACCAAAAGACGCAACTTCTTATATACTACTTTCAGTGGTGTTAGAGTATGAGGCGAAAGGTTAAGATCTAGGTCGCCAACTTGAAAAAAAGGTGAATACGTGTAATCGGAAGGAGGTCATCTCTTACATCGAATGCCAGAAAACTCGGTCAGGTAATCGACGATGACTTCACTAGTGTGAATGTGGTCGTCGATAAAAGGGAGGCCTTGTCTAGGTCCCTCGCATCGCAGAACAGACACACGGGCGAGACTGAGTCTTGCAGGTCGAAGTACCTGTTTACTTCCATCGGATCGGTATTCGGTTTCTTCCTGGTCTGATCAGGAAAGCGCATGGTGTAGATAAAGGGAGTTGACCTGTTGCATAGAAACAAACTCGGCATCGATAGCTACATGAGTGCCAGGGGGAGGCAATTCGCTGTAAGTGAGACATTCATGTTTGATGAGGGCAGGATCGCGGTTGCTAGCGGACGAATATTCAGGTTCCCGGTCAAAAGAAAAAACAAAAAGGGAGTACAGAGATATTGAGGTATCCCGACAAAGGATGTCTGGATTCATTTGGAAGGGCAGACCACTGAGATCAATGGCGTCTGCGCCATCGATTCGCTCATAATAAAGAATTGCTGGAACCTAAAATATATGAGAACAATGCCGTAGAGTAAGCGAAAATTTACCTTCCAAGTATCAGGGAAGCTCAAAGCTTCTCGTTCTGAGATGCTCTGGACCACAAAATCATTAAAAACAACCCACGGAGTGGCTGGGTCATGTGGTTGCTGAACTGTGAGGATGAGCTAGCGCAGGCGGCTCGATAACCTGGAAAGGTACCTTTCACGATGGAGACTAAATGCGACTTACTGTCTTTGGTCACGATTTGAACGACCAAAGACTAGAATGATGAGTCCGTGGTCATGAATAAAACAAACAAACACTCACCCTGAGTAAGTAAACCGTAGCCTCAGGGTCGTCGACGCCGTTGACCTGGCCGTGGATCTCAAACTGAGGCTTAATGAAAGTCTCCTTGTTGTCGAGCCAGTAACTTAAACTCTCTGGCGTGTAAACAGAAGCGTTGACAGCCAAGACGAGAGGAAGATCTTTGGTAGCGATAGATCGACGGACGGAAAAGTTCGCAAAGTGCTTGCAAACCTGACATGATGCCTTGTGCGTCAAGTGGCGTAACAAAGAATTGCGGAGAATAGTGGGGAAATCGAGATCGCTTTGAACCTAGAAAAAAATGAATGATTACTTTGAATGGAGATTAAGATTAGGAACTGACGGGTCGAGGATAAGCGAGGTCAATGACATGAGACATATTCTCTTTCTCTCGTGCAGCACCACAATTCATACACGTGATCACATTCTTTGCATCAATGCCCAATAACTGAGTAATGGGTGCGGCGACGGGCAGGCCGCGATGCAACGCATTCTTGGCAACAACCAGGTTGTTTGGAAAGGTATTTCCCTCGATACTCAGTCGATCCAGTAGGAACCTGTGGAATGACTGGATCATGAGGGCGTAATTGACGTTGGCGGATTCGCGGCCATAGTCGATAAGTTCGATGGCATTTGCAGCTATTCGAGTGAGTGAAGTAACATCAGAAGGAGTAAATATTACCGTGGGCCAATACGCCAACGGCTTTGCAAAAATTGCTTGACTGGCAGTTGATTCCATGGGCATCTTCCAACATACGTACAACAAAGCCCAGTTCACACAACAAGCAGTGTTCTCTGGCGCAATTTGTAGTAATGTGCGATTTGGTAAGATGACGAATGGGGGGACAGTAGTGCATCACCTGGAAATCTCGTCATCCAGCCGAAAGGTCCTGTTTTGGAAACTCACCTGCACGAGTGCGTTCGTATATGAATTGAGGATGTGGGTTTCTAGTCCGCTGTACTCGGTTTTATTGTAGAAACTGAAGATTTAATCAAGTCATATTCCACAGTGTGAGCCTAGCGCACCCGAAGTCAAAGTCCTCCACTCCGAATTTGGAGTATTCGATCTCAACTTTGCGATACAGTCTAGGGATTGAACTAGAGCTGTCCCACGTTGGTGTATCAGGATCTGGCTGAAATGACAATAAGCATCACGTGAGACTGCACAACACACCCAAACCTCGTTTCCCCGCGATTTCCCGCTTCGAAATCTACCCTTCTTTCCTCGAGAACCGACAACGACCAGATTGCGCCTTCCCTTGAGTTCCTTGGGTAAGGCAGCGTAGGCGATGTTATCGTTCTGCTTGATGGACACCAAGACCTGTGGCGGAATTTTCGGTGGAGGGGGATAGTCCACTGCGCCAGAAATAAACAGTGGCGTCCAAGATGACAAGAGTTTCGACTCATAATATGGCATTCCGATTGAGCTGAGTGGACTGAAACAAAACGCTCAACAGTGCGTGGTCTGAGCAAACTGATGCATACGTTGAGTCAGACCACTCGATTTCTGGCAGGGGAGCAGGGGTGTCTGCAATTTCTACAGGCTGCCCATCAAACCCATTCAAAGGTAATGAACTCTCTTCGTCGGCTTGGGTGATAAGATGAACCATTCCTTCAGCATCACCGCAAGCAATATATACGCCTGTGGGAGATGCAGCGACGGAGGTTATGTACGACGCCACGTCTAGCTGAGAGAATGCATTAGTTCGCGACTAGTGCTTGGTCAACCAACATCCAACCTGGTAGAATTCGTGAGATGAAGTCGAGACATCGACAATGTTAACAAGTCCCTGGCTCGAGGTGACGACAATCGATGAAGATCGTTTTGGAAGGATGTTGATGAATGCAGGAGAGGCGGAGAAAGGGACCGGAGCAAGCGGCCTCATCGTTCTAAGGTCATAGACTTTGACGAATGAGTCGGTTATCGGACGAGACTGACTAATATTGATCAGTTGTGTTTACGTCTGAGGTATCAAATAGCACCGTATACTGAGCCCTATAGTGAATACAAGGTTGCCGTTGGTTTGCAGTCCTTGAATCCCAGCATAATGCGCTATGAACTGGCCTTCTGGTTTGTTGATGGCCGTACGGGAGTCATGAGTCCGAACTGATCCATCAGCACCACCAGACAATATGGCAGAATGTGAAAACTCAAGATGAGTTATTAGCGATGGCGTTGGCGCCTGGCGTAGAATGTTGCCAGTCATCGAGTTCATAAGCAGGAGCTCTGAGTTTGTAGAAGACGCAGCAAGGACTGAGGAGGCTGATGATACATTGGAAAAGGTATGCAATGTTGGAGGTGAGCTACAACATCGTTTATGCTAGGAAAGACGGAGATTCGATTCCAACTGACCGACAGAACCATTTGTTCATCCCGCCTTTAGTCCATGTACCCAGTCCTTGACCAGAAACGCCCAGACCCCTGACATATCCTTCGCCCACAAGCAACTTTCTAACGGCCAATGGTCCTCCAACAGGAAAACACACACCCGGTTGACCCTGTGCACCGTAGAAGGCGGCAATTCTACCGGAGTTGGAGCCTGTCCAAAGCGTGTCTGATACCGGATCGAAGCAAAGAGCAGTGACGGGTTGCGGTATTTGTGGAAACGCGACGACTGGAATCGTTCCGGCTGGTCGATAAGTCGTGGTGGTCATCCAGGTTGCATGTCACATCATCAGTCACACTACAACTTCAGATAATAATTCAGAACTACTAATGTTTCTTCCATTCAATCCACAACGCGGTCTCTCCGATATCAAATGCATGTTTACTCGGTCTACGTATGCAGTCGCCGCGTACTATAATCTCGGAACCGCCGGGCTAGTAATTGACCTACTAGTACTTAATACAGCTACGCAGGCAATGCCTCACTCGGCCGGTAGGCGATGATTCTCGAGCCAAGTCCACAAGTAGGATTCGGCATTCCTCCATGCACTCCCCATACGATGTCGAGCTCATTGCCGCGATGGGAAGACAACGTCGCCATCTCCCTCGGTCAAGGGCCTCAAATACTCAAACAAAGCACATACTCCCGTTTTGTAATCCATCCCCAGGTCGACGAAGTACGAACAGCTTAGTGGTTATATCTGCTCTTACATGCCCATAGCTGTCGTCTGCTGTCTTGCATGCTCTGGGAGCTAGTAAAGATCAACACTGTTTTCTTTTCCCAACTGCGCGGCTAGCAAACGAATTTCGTCTCTACCTCGATGCCAGCTTCTCGGCTCCCTGCGCCGTGCACAATGCAAGTGAGCTCATCAATACCCCACCTTGCCATTCCGTTTTTGCCGCCCTGTTCACTGCGGACTTTCGTGGGGCCATGAGATTCTATATGTTTACAGGAAGCGGTATATCTCCACGTCTTGCCGAGGTCTGTTTGCAACGGTTGAAGGGCCGCTTAAATCAACCTCTCAGCCTCCCGTCATCCAACGAGGGTCATTGTTTTGGAGACTATTATATCAGGCATTCGCCTCTAGTGTCCACGGAAGCAGCTAAGCAAGCAATACGGACTCGATTCGCGGGGATATTTGGCAACTCCAGTACCAGAGGCGTCGATAACATATCGGCAGATGACGTATACCTCTACTCCTCCGGAATGCATGCAATTTGGGAAACACACAAGCTAATTCATGATGTTCTGGTATCGCCAAGTAACAAGCTCAAAGTTGCTCATGTCAAGTGCGTTGGTTGCACGCTTCCTCAAGTCACATTTATTGACTGGACTTCATAGCTTCCTTTATTGCGACACATACAAGTTCATCGACTTACCCGGCGCCACCGGTCACCATTTCTTCACGGATGATACTTTGGATAAATTAGAGGCGCTACTCAAAACTGGAACACTGACCCATCCTGCCGTTTTGGCCATATTCACCGATTTTCCCGGAAATCCGCACCTGACGAGCACCGACATGATAAAACTCCATGTAGGGTCTCCCTGAGCGATTTCCAAACGCCTCTAATCCGCCGTAGGCCCTTGCTCGTTGTCACGGCGTCCCACTTATCGTTGATGAAACAATCGGTGGTCTTTTAAATGTCCAGCTCTTGCCACATTGCGACGTGATTGTGAGCAGCTTGACGAAGCTCTTCAGCGGCCTTGCCAATGTTCTAGCTGGCGCGTGAGTCTAATAAAAACCTTCGTTCCATCACGCCCATCTATAACGCAGGATTATGCTGAACCCAGCGTCACCTTTTTATTCTCGATTTAAAACAACTTTGGACGCGACGTATGAAGACACTTTATTTCGCCACGACGCACTGATCCTGGAGATGAACTCGAGAGAATATGTGCAGCGCACCATTGTTACCAATAGTAACACGGAGTTCCTAAGTGATAAGTTGTTTCCACTATCTCAAATGGGTGGGGCACACGAGTCTGTGTTGAAGGCGGTAAGATTGGTTTAGTAGTAAGCTCATGTCAGGTCTTTAACACCTCTTCATAGGTTTATTACCCCAAGTATCGCTCGCGCAAAAATTTCGAAATGATGCGAAATTCTCTAGCTGTTGAAGCTGGCCTGGAAGAAACGGGCTACGGCCCCCTTCTCTCTGTCACTTTCACATCAGTCGAGGCAGCCAAGATCTTCTATGCAGCATTGCGGTGTTACAAAGGTACAACATTGGGCACTGTCTTCACGATAGCAACCGCATTCTCTGCTCTTACCCATCCCCCGGAGAAGATGGATTGGCTGGAGCAACATGGTGTCGAGGAGTCTCTGGTTTGTTTTGTTTCGTTCTAGCCTTGCGCCACGAAGACTAAGACGCCACAGGTTCGGTTTAGTGTTGGGATGGAGGATCCTGAAGCCATCTACGAGTGTGTTCGGGACGCCTTAGATGCTGCTCAAAGGGGTGATGAAGTCGTGGAGATGGAATAGGGTTCCGTTATGGCAGTCTTCTGTTTTGTCATCACAACGTCCATAAATTTATGCACCCTCCACACTCCTTCCATCTCACCTTTCCATGCTCTTCTTTTTCTTCTTCGTATTTGCTGCGTTGGGCCCCGTCATTGTTTTTGGCGCCCAGAAACAGCTAGGGCAAGACGCTTTGAATGATATTCTTGCTCGTGGTGCCCCAATTCTTGGTGGGACATACCACACCGTTCTCAGCCAGCTAAACATAGCCCTAGGAATCGACAATGGATGCTCTCGTACGAGCAAGACTTGCGATTGGATGCGAAACGTGCCAGACCACACAAAGTTGGTCCATATGAACCTTCCTGGCACGCATGATTCGGCCACCTGTGTGTCTTCCCATTGTCATTTTCTGCCCACCGGTGACCTGGAATGAAGGGAACTACTCTCAGGCCACCCAAGACTCTCTTATCCGATACACAGGACCCAATGTTCCCCCGGCCGTGGTATTCCGATGTCAAAATCAGTCTCTGCTCGATTCTCTCAATGCCGGAATCCGTGTCTTCGACCTGCGCTTCGCATACAACCCAGGAATGTCATCAGCATTTACTGGGTCTTTAATTGACGCCCCCTCAAAGGCAACGATACCCTCGGTTTTCATCATGGTGAGTTTTCGTCAGGCTCATTGGGACTTTGCTCACTGTCGTAGGCAGGGCATTACTAGCACCGACAGCAACAGTGGACGATGTGTGGTTTGGCTTGTACAACTGGCTAGACAAACATCCGACGGAAGCAGTGCTCATCTCCCTGAACTACGAATCGGGCACTGGCATGTCCCGCGACCTCAAGCTCGAGCAGCTCATCTATAACTTGATGACGAGCAACCTAGCCTCTCGATACTGGGTCCAGGCCAACGGCACTGTTAGTCCAATCAACTCTCTCTCGTTCTTCGATTCAGTGCCACATTCAGCTTGGGACTCTGGGAGAGGCACGGGGCAAACTGACCTTCCTCCAACGCTACAACTATCAATTCCTCCCTAACACCGAGTCCAAACAGTTCGGAATCCACTTAGCGCCGGAGCAATGGACAGACAACAGTCCTTCGATTGAGATCGTCTACAACAACGCGGCCCACCAATCCGCATTCATCGAGGACTACTACGAGATAGGCCTGCCGAACGGGGCTGGCGTCGCTGAAAACGTAGGGCGGCACCTCACGCGTGGCTTGATGGTGATTGACGGGATGCGCTAGGTCCAATGGAAGTTGAACGCAACCATCGCCCATCTCGAGAATGCAACGACGCTTCATCCCGACCAACTCTACATCACATTTGCTAGCTCGGAGCACAATGACGATGTCCCACCCGAAAACCCCATCGTGAGTGTCTTTTACTTCGCGTAATAAACAACTCTTGATGCTGGTCAGGTCATGGCATTGGGCGATGGGTCAGTGCCCGGGGTTAACCAGAAACTTCTCCCGTGGTTACAACAACACAGGGGCAAGCGATTCGGCGTCATCAGTGAGCGTCCCTCGTCTTGGCGCCCCCGAAACTAAAGTAGTTTGCTAGTGCTCGACTTCTTTGGCGCAGTTCCTGGGCTGGTGGAAGCAGTTATTGGGGTGTAACCTTGGCCAGTTGCATTCAAAATGGATTTTTCTTTCAGAGTTCGGACACCCTTCAAATTTGTATTCTAACTCTACATGGCGTGTCCACGACTACCCTTGACGGAGTATTCTTCCCTCGTCTCCTGGTCAAACTCCTGCTCTACGTCGATCTGGATCTTCATCCTGTTGTTGCCGTCAGTGCGAGACAGTGGCAGTCGCGGCATGGTGGTGTTGAGCGTGCTGACCGCGCTGCCAGAAAGCGTCTTGCTGCGAGCGACGCCAATCCGCAAGATCACCAGGTAGAACGCAATACTGATGATTGGAGTAACCTGCAACACAGCTAAGTGGCGGAGAAGTAGAATGGGGTACGAGGTTACCATATCAAGTACCACGTATTGGCCGTTGCTGTTCAGTGCAAAACAGGTGAGGGCCGCGACGAGGGTCACAGAGTAGAGGACTCCCGCATCAATGACGATCAAGAGAACCGGAAGTACGACTCCCCGGCCAACTCGGGTTGCAGCAACCTGCTTGTTGATTGACCAAAGTTTGTATGAAAGGAGTGCTGGGCAAAGAAAGTGAGCAGAATACCCGAAATCACAGTGATTGACTTACCAGTAGCGGTGAAATTACACGCAAGTGTTGTAGAATAAAAGGCTTTGATCCAGCGACCCAGTTGCAGCGCGTAGATGCTTGTTGGGTCGGCGAGCGGCGTCGTACACGTATAAACACTGCCAGAGCCCGCAACTGTTTGTTCGTGGGCATTGCTATAGCTTAAATTAGAAGACACGCACTGGCGACACCACACCAGAGAATGCAAGGGATGACAATGATCCAGAATGACTGCCAAACTTTGTAGCACCGGAAGATCTGCCATCGCATGAGCTCGACGACTAAACGGCGGAAGCATAACTCTACCACGACGCCATCTCCCAGGACTGTTTGTAAAGTATAGACGGCATTCTTGAAAACCTGGATTCAAGTTCAGAACGGATGTATAGCTGCTGAGGACGACCGTACAAAGGATTTCTCGCTGGGGTTGGCAAACCAGGCTGCTGGGCCCCCGGGAAACGAATCGCGGTAGACGATGAACCCACTATTCAGCCTGTTGATATCAACCCCGATGTGCTAGAGAAAAGGAAACATCAGATAACGAGCAACAATGAGTCCACGACCCACAATCGTGCTCAAAATAAACAGTAACATGGAAACAACGACCATAGGTATGTTGATTTTTGATTTTCCGCGTCCGCGAATTAGAACCCACATAGTCAGGATGAACATTAAGACAGAAAAGCCTGCGAAAGTCTGTTAGCTTGCTTCAGTAGACGACATTGATAGCCTTCACCATAGAGTATTGACTCAAGAACGGTGGACAAGAGCCCCGCCTTGTCCGGGGAGATAAACTTGACCATGGAAGGGGGCGAACAGGAGGGAAGGCGACATGCAGCCGCTGCTATTTAACAGAGCGCGCCCGCGGCGTCTGCGTTGTGAGAGAAAAATGCGGAGACAGAATGGTGAGGTATGCCTAACGAGATGGTCTGTGTGTTTCAATAATGCCAATACCGGCGACACCGAGGACCTGCGGTAGCCGATGCCAATCGCATTTCAGAGCAAGCCAGTGTCGTCAGGGTATGCCTGCAGCGGCGGCATGGCCACTTTGACCACTCACGTGCAAGTAAGTTTAGTGTGGCGAATGAGGACGCAGGCATTTCCGGGCCCGATTCAGAATCGGAGTGATTCTATGTTGGTCAATAGTCAAGTTGTCTTGAGAGCTTCCCAAATTAATCGTTGACAACCAGGGCCGAAAGGCCTGACGAGACCGGGAAAATATGTATACGAGAGTGGGGCTCTTTCGGCTCTTCCGCTGGGGACAATTGAAAATTAGCGAGTGATTCCAGGTCAAGGCTGGCTTGACGAAGATCGTCGGTTGCACAAAAAAAAACCATTTCATGAAAGCGCCCGCCCTCAAAGAGGGTCTTGTGTGAACTTGCGGAAGGCGAATCACGGCGATCACAGCAGTCACTGTCGATCCGGATGGTGGACAAGAAAGTTCGGAATCCGCAAGAATCCGCATCAATGTGGGATCCTTGGCCGCGGCACGCTACCAGTAGTCCAATCAATTGAGCACTGACGGCGGTTCCGACGGGATGTTGCAAACATGTTGCCTCCTGGCAACTTGCTTGAATGGACTCCCTGAAGGTGGGAGACCGAACATTCGGAAGTGTGCTAAGCAGGCACCACTTGGGCATTTTTAGGACGCTTCTCAAGACGCTTCTTTTGTGTGTCCCCAACAGAGAACTGCCAGCAAAAAAAGATTGCCGATTCATTGACCTTGGTAGGTAGCGTTACTTACACATCCGACCAACCGGCCTTCGCGGGAGTAAGTGGTGCTGAGCTTTCGATAGTGAACACGGTTGTAGCATCCACCTCATATTCTGAGGAACGACATTGGTCTTGTGTGCGTTACAAAGCGACGCTAACCGCAAGGAAGAAAGAGAGTGAGTTTTAGAAGCCTCGGAAGTCGGACCTGTCGAATGTCAAAAGGAAGTTCCAGGCGCGGGGGTGCCGTGAGGAGGACCAACCCGATAAAGTTCGCTCTTGAAGCCTCTTCCAAGTTTCTCAGCCATTCCTTCACCCCCAATAGCGATATGCCTAGCGCCTCCGACAAATTGTACCTCCTTGGCGCAGGCGGCGCACTCGCCATTGCTGTATATTCCTATATTTTGCAACGCCGCAAAAACAGTCTGCCTTTGCCTCCAGGCCCCCGGAAGCTTCCACTCATTGGAAACCTGCTCGACATGCCAGCAACATTCGAGTGGCTGACATATATGGAGTGGAGCAAGAAATATGGTGAGTCCAGCATGTCTTTGTCCCCCAAATAGCACAAGAGCTTAAATTTGATGGCGCAGACTCGGATATAATGCACTTGAACGTCGCAGGGACGTCCATTATCTTGCTTTCTTCAGCCGAAGCCGCGAATGAGTTGCTGGAGAAAAGGTCTTCGATATATTCGGACCGGTTAGCCGCAATTCCGCGTTCCTGACAATCAGTGTGCTCAATAGCTGCAGAGCGAGATTGCCGATGGTGAATGAGCTCATGGGTTGGGATTTCGCGTTGGGTGAGCAACGTCTGCAAAAACACGACCGTATCTGACTCGTGTTCGAAGCGTTCATGAAGCACGGTAAGCTTGTCAAAATCGCGGATTGAAAGCATTGATGCACTGGTATGTTCGCAGGCGATCACTGGTATGTCCTCCAAAGCCGTCAGGATTGAGGGTGTCTCAATTCAGTCCAGGCGAGCCCACCGGAAGCTCTTCCATGAAGTATTCAACGCAGTTGCCGTCAAGAAATTCCGACCGATGGAGAAGAAGGCTTGCTACGAGTTTCTAAACGACCTGCTTGCCCGACCAGACCACGATGTTCTGGATCATCTGCGACAGTAAGTCAGCAACACTGCGATTTGTGGCGTCTGGTCTGACCTGAGTCTAGTATGGCGGCCAAAATTATCATGTCGATTGCTTACGGGATCGACATTAAACCTGCCAACGACCCGTATGTCGAGCTGGCTGACAAGGCCGTTGAAGGACTCGTCACTGCGATTGTACCAGGTCGCTTCTTGGTCGACAACATCCCCTTCTTGAAGTATGTCCCTTCGTGGTTCCCTGGCGCCGGTTTCCAACACCAAGCGAACGAATGGCGAAGACTCTCGCGCTCCATGCTGGAAAAGCCATACGCCGAGTCGAAGCAGATTATCGCTGGCGGGAAAGCACCACACTCGCTTGTCCTTGATGGCTCCCGAATGGTCGAAGAGGCGCCGGAGAATAAGGAATACCTCCAGCAGGTAGTGCAAAATACTGCAGCCACGATATATACTGCTGGGTCGGGAACAACCGTCTCTGCGCTGGGGACCTTCATTCTCGCCATGCTATCGAACCCTGAGGCGATGAAGAAGGCTCAAGAGGAAATAGACCGTGTCGTTGGGCCTGACCGCCTCCCTGACTTCGACGATGAACCGTCGTTGCCGTATGTCACAGCTTGCATGAAAGAGTCTTTGCGGTGGCGCAACGTTACTCCCATCGGTGAGGACCGTCTTGTCATTGCTGACATCGCCTGACAAGTTGTTGACAGCTATACCCCACTACCTGCCCGTCGAGGACGAGTACAAAGGGTACCGTTTACCCGCAGGCTCTATCGTCATTCCGAATACCTGGTCAGCCTCGTAAAATTTCTGCTGAACAAAGGCTGACCTACCACCCACCACCCACAGGGCAATCTTGCACGACGAGGTGATTGACCCTCTCCACCTTTTCCTCTCGCTTTGTTGACATGTTGTACCAGACAGTATACCCCGACCCGTACTCGTTCAAGCCAGAGCGTTATCTATTGCCCAATGGTCAACTCAACCCGGATATTCCCAGTCCCGACATGGTCTTTGGCTTTGGACGGCGCATTTGCCCCGGTCGACACATGGCGAATTCGTCGGTGTGGATAACGTTGGCGTCCCTGCTTGCCACTTTCGACATTACTAAGGCAGTTGATGGAGAAGGCAAGGTTATTGAGCCTCGATACGACTACTTCGCTGGTCTGGTGGTAATGCCTTTGCCATTCGAATGCTCAATCAAGCCGAGGTCAGAGAAGGCGGTTGAGTTGATTCGGACGAGTGTCAACAAAGTTTAGTTTTACTACTAGTACATAGTTCATTACCATCACTCTTTCAACAAAGTCACATGCACCATTCGTTTCTGGTGATGGAAAATCGATGTATTGGAAACAGTGTAGAATAAATTTATGCGATTTTGTATGTACGTGGATGGTAGGATGTGGGAGTGATGGAATATGCGCATGGAGAACCCAGAAAGGAAAGAAAAAAAATGATCGCTGAAGGCGCGTGTGCACTACTTTCGACACCTCCAATAGCGTCCTTTTGTAGATTATGGCTTGCGGAATTCGCAAAGCACAGTGTAAATCGTGTTGAAGGCCGTGTAGATCTCCTCACGGACCTGAGGGGCAAGCGAGGGTCAGCTACACGTCCTTCAACAACAACAACGAGGAAACCACGGCCTATTACAGCCGTGGATGCGAGCGAGCTCAATGGCCACGCCGCACGTTCCACAAAACGAAACGAACATACCTTGGCACCAGTCAAAACAATCTTGCCCGAGACGAAGATGAGAAGCACGACTTTTGGCTTGATCATGCGGTAGATGAGACCAGGGAATAACTGCATCGAGATGAGTCAACTAAAGATGATGACTAGATATCAACCCACCTCAGGCTCATAACTGCTGAACTGTCCGTGGCTGTAGGCGAGTCCCTCCAAGCGAATGGGGAACTTAACATCACAGCTGCCGACAATGTTCTGGATCTTGAACTCCGAAAACTTCGCATCGAAACCGAGCTTCTGGACAATGCGGGCGTATTTGCGGGACGCAAGGCGCGAATCATCCTCCGACTTCGCTCCAGTGACGACCATCTTTCCCGACGCGAAGATGAGGGCTGTTGTCTTGGGGTCACGAATACGCATAATGACGGCGGCAAAACGCTAAGCACACGCGAAACAGTTCGACGTGCATAATCAACGGTAAGATGTGGTACCAACCTTGGGATTATATTCGGCATTACGGGCGTGAAGGGCGATGGTTTTAAGGTCGAGGCGACAGTCGAGGTTCACGGTGGCAACAATGTTTTGAAGAGTGGGGACGATACCTTCCACGGCGGTGATATGCTGTTGCTCTAGAGTGAGGGGAGCGGGGGTTGACGGGACCGGGGTAGAGGGCCCAGCAACAGCGTTGGAGGTGGCGGTGGGGGTAACGGTTGGGGGAGGTGGTGGAGCCTGTGGCTGTGTCGACGACGCTGACGACGGTTGGTATGAGTTGGAGAGTGGCGAAGGCCCAGGAAGGGCGAGGCCATTCTGAGGTTGATATGCGAAACCATTCTGTTGCGTCTGCTGGTAGTTCGAACGACCAAAAGTGACTTGGCGAGTGGGCAGAGCAAAAGACATGGTGACGGTTGGGGATCAAAAGAGGCTCGGCAGGACGCCGAGGGCCCACTTATATACCTCTGAGGTGTCACATCACGCGTGACTGATGCACTGCCTCCAACAATGACTCTTACCCATCCCCGCCACATCATTCAACCGCTTGTCCTCCTTTGTCGCTGTCCTTGTTCTGCAATGTTGCTTTGTCTTTGGGTCAAGCACAACCTCAATCACTCCTTTGTACGTACAAAGCAGTCTTCAAACAGTCCTTTCACTATCGTCGCTGCTCGTCTTATCTGTCATCATCAAGCGCCATAACAACGTTTCCATTCTTCATCGATGTTCTTTTAGACGCTCAATTCAACCTATTGCGTTCTTCCCTATCGTCTTTGACTGCCTGAAGAATCTTTTCTGCCCCCGCCTCAATCAAGATCCTTGCCAATCGCGCTCCAATAGCCTCTGCATCTTCCCGCGTTCCAATCTTCTCCTTGAGAGTTCGCTGAATGTGCTCACTACCATCAAGCGCCGTGATGCATCCCGTCATCTCAAAATAGTCTTGTTCGTCAAGAGCCGTAGCGACACCCACAGGGACACTGCAGCCACCCTCTAACACATGAAGGAATGCCCGCTCGGCCATGCAGCGAAGGAATGTCGGCCTGTGTGTGATTTGCTGACAAAGTGCCAGAGCCTCGGTGTCGTCAGCTCGGACTTCAAACCCAATGGCGCCTTGGGAGACCGCGTGAAAGAGGATTGGTGGGGGAAGGTCCGATGTCAGACGGGCGCCTAATCCAAGTCGCACTACCCCCGCTCGAGCTAGGATAATAGCAGCATATGGGGAATCCGGTGCATCGAGTTTGGCGAGCCGCGTATCGATGTTACCTCTCTGTAAAATTGTTGCTGAAACCACCAAAAATCATATTCCGCACTCACGCAGTCCTTAAATTGCAAGTTAGGATAGTTTCTTTTGAGCTGAGCAATTCTTCGAACGCTGCTTGTCCCAACCACAGAACCATCTGGGAGGTCTTCCAACGTTTTCCACTCAGATCCTGGTCTAGTGATAAGGCTGTCCACGGGGTCCTCTCTCTCGAGGACTCCAGCTATCACACAACCATCCGGAAGTGTGGTTGGCACATCTTTAAAAGCATGCACCAGAATGTCCACTTTCTTGTCCAGTAGTGCTACCTCCAGATCCTTCGTCCAGAATGATTTACCTTCCGCGCTATTGAGGGTGTACAGCGCCTGGGTTTGATCTCGATCGCCAGCAGAACTTAGCCATTCTTTGGTGAATTTCGGGGAAGCATCAGACGAATGCGGATGTAACGCTTCGAGAGCAGCAAGGGTCATATTTGTCTGAGCCTGGGCAAGTTGTGAGGCACGGGAGGCCAGCGTAAACGTCCGAGAAGACATGGTTGTGAGCGGCAGGAACCGATTGTCGTTCAGACGCGTTGTGGCCAATAAAAGATCGCGCACGTGTTATGACTATTAATAATACGATTACGTGTCACTTTGCTGCCAGTGGATGGCAAGCCAACTCAGGTCGCTCATCGGCCTCCAGGTTATCTCTCGCGCATTCACCTTCATACTCAACCAGAGCCTCCTTGGACTTGCATCTCCTGGTGCCTATGGAACTGCTGCAATCCAATTCGAACTGATTTCGAGCACGATTCTCTTTCTAAGCCGAGAAGGTGTCCGAAACGCTCTTTTACGTGTCAATCGGGCCAAAGACGGCTCGTGGAATGTCGGAAATATCGTGTTTCTGCCTCTTTCCTTAGGAGTACCACTGGCTGTAGCAACAAGTCTTGGCTACGTGAGACTCGCAGCTCAAGAAACCAAGTCACAACCTGGCTTCTATACTGGTATCGCACTCTACGCGTTAGCGGCCGTGTTGGAACTTTGGTGTGAACCAATGCACAACCAGTACTTTTGCATCTCTCTCTCTCTTTACGCATGTTAATATCTGGTTAGTGCCATGGCCGAAATGAAAACGCACATCCGTTTTCGTGCAGAAGGCTCTGGTGTCATGGCCAAAACGGTCACAACATTCCTCGTCCTCTTCTACGACTCAAAAGCTGGGATGAATGGCGCACTAGCGCTCGTGGCTTTTGCCTGGGGACAATTGTCTTACTCTTTCTGCGTAATGGCGGTCTACCTTGCGCACTATGGGCTCTCTTCATTATTCCCCAAGAAGACCAGCCTTAGACCCGACTCCGATACGCTCCGCATATCTCTAACCATGACCTCTCAATCAGTAATCAAGCATTTTCTCACTGAAGGCGACAAATTCGTTTTGGGCTGGTTCAGTCCTTTGCAGGACCAAGGCGGCTACGCCGTCGCCGTAAATTACGGTGTGTAAGCCGAGTTTCGTGCCATATGACTCGCCTAACACCAACTCGAGGTTCGTTGATTGCCCGCATCGTATTTCAGCCCATCGAGGAATCGTCCCGTATATCATTCTCCAAGACCCTCTCCCCGCCCATCAAGGCAGAAGCCTTGAAGACTGCCTCCCGCGCTCTGACGACGCTGACTTCTCTGCAAACTTCATTCTCTCTCCTCTTACTCGTTTTTGGTCCGGCATATCTACCCATTGTGCTCCCTGTCATCCTGCCAAGACAATACCTCTCGACCAGCGCTCCGCGTGTTCTACAAGCCTGGATATGGTACATACCCGTCCTGGCCTTGAACGGTGGCCTAGAGGCGTTCATCTCCAGCGTTTCCACTCCTAAAGATCTGAACAGACAAAGCAGGTGCGTCCTTCGTTGCTCTAAATACATTTGTCGCTAATTTGACAGATGGATGGCAATTTTCTCGATCATCTACATGGCTGCTGCGGTCCAGCTCTATAGATGGCACTTTGGCGACAGTTCGTTGGTGTACGCCAACATCATCAACCTCACCGCCCGCATCGCCTACGCAGCGCACTTTACCACTGCATTTTTTGCCTCGCGTGGATCATCTTTGCAGTGGAGGGCTGGTTTGCCGGGGGCGAAGTTTGCGGCTGCTTGCGCCGTCTCGTTGGGTATCATCACGGCGAATGAGGGTCGCCTGGGTGGCATCAAAAACATGGTAACGCATATCGGACCGGGTTTGGCCATCGTTCGACATCGGGCGATCCAGATTCATATTCTTGTTGGCGGTATTCTGGGCTGCTTGTGCTTGATGGTATGGTGGTTTACAGAGGGACGCCAACTGCTCCGCGAAAGAAAGCATCCCAAGTCCGACTAAAATTACATGTAACATCATCAATAAGCCCCCAGCCATCGCTCATAGTTGAACGACGGCTGAACATCCTGCCTCCCGTCGAGGTACTGCGACGAATTCTGGCTGACATACGAGATGAACTCTTTGGGTGTTTCTGCTGGCCAGTCTGGGGTGTCGCCTAGTCCGGTGCGGACAGAGTAAGAATAAAGCTCTAAATCCTTTCGTTCAGCGGTTGTCGCGTCCAGTAATTCCTGGTATTGGTCAATATATCCTTGATACTCTGCTTCTTCTTCCTCCGAAACGACAGGATTCAGCTTCTGGCGCGCCATGGCTTCTGTCGACAGCCGATCTCCCTCTGGTTCCGCAGCCGGCTTGCTCGATTCAACACGGTCACTAGTTTGCTTGGTGCTCTTCTTCGAGCTTGTTACGGGGTTGGCTCCGATCCAGCGTCGGACACCTTGAACAACACTAGCATAACATCAGTTATCTGTGCTGATAAAAAAGTAAGACAAACCTAGGCTGACTGCGCGACACAATGCTCTGCGGCTCAAAGGGACTGTGATTCATGTCCTTTGCGGTTTTTCTGTGGATAAATAAGAGGCATGAAGCCAATACCTTCGTTTTACTCACCCCGGAAGCTTGAGCGTGCTGTTCATAGAGTAGGCAAAGTGTTTTCCGAGCGAGGTGAACAACAATGGTCGATAGTACTCGACCCAGAAATCACTCTTGTTCCGGATAAAGTCCCGCAGCCCACGATCACAGTCGTCCAAGGCATACGGCGGTTGAAGGTGCTCTTCGTTGAACCACCTCTGATATCCACTCCGTACTTGGGGTTGCGTTATGGGTCGCTCATCTTGGACCCCAAGGAAGAGATTGATGGCGGTTTGCTTGTCAGCATCTGCAGGAGTGATTCAGCGAGAGGGCTAGTTGTTAGAAACCGGCCGACCGAGTAGTGAGTTGGTATAGAACCGCCTGATATTCTCAATGATATCTCGAGAATGACTGTTCCAATGCGGCATTCGTCGGTAGGTCTCGACACGGTTCACAAGAGCACTTCCAGTATATTGCAAAGCAATGGCTTGGGCACGTGAGTAACTGAGATGAAAAACATATCCAAACTCACTATCGCCATGGTCATGGTACATTTCGGTTAACATGTTGACCGCATCGGAGTCAAATGCTAGATTTGGGTGCTCTACGACTCCCAACGCGTACAGTTGATGTCCAAGAGCGCGCTTCCCAAAAACGAACTGCGCCGCATTGGTACGGTCCAAGCAGTCGACGCAGTTCGTGCGACAAATGCCATTCTGGAGCGAGATAGTGTTCCGCCATGGTTCGTTATTGTTGCTAAAGAACATAAGTGGGAAGAAAATCGGATGTAGTTGGTATTACTCTGTCTGGTTTTGAAGATAATGCGAGTACGGCTCGGGTCCAGAATGGAAGAAGCTCGTGAATTGAATGGACTCCTCTGCCATATCCTCCAGGATGCTGATAACATCTTGGGTCTTCCTATGAGAAGACTCAATTCAAGCGGAATCCTGGACAACGAAACCTACTCCTTATACGCTCTAGACATGTCCCATGCTCGGTATTTCATGCGCTTGTCTGCAGGCAAAAATTGATTCAAATATTCGACGCAGAGCGTATATTCGTCCAGTAATTTCGATTCTCGTGGAACAGGCTCTCGTTTCTTGATTAGGTTCAGGATCATGATAGGTGCTCCATATCGCTTGAAAAGATTGTCAAAATGGCGTGCTGCAGCACTGTAGAAAGGATCGACAACACTGACTGCAAGAGAGTGAGCGTTGAGAATTGTTGATTGATACCCACGGACTCTCAATCGGCGGACGGGGACTCATGCTATTGGTCTCTTGAGTCCAATATACAGGAATACTGCCTCTATACTGGAAAGAGTTGAGAAACGTTATGGGTTCAGAACACACATACGTGGACATAGCTGGTATAATTTGGACTCGGTTGGCGGGTTTCAGAACCATCTCGTCGACATGGGTAGTAAAAAGGCGTAGTCAGCGCCTCCGATACGATCTGTTCTGTCTCAACTTCATTTGCGACGTTGCCCTATTGTGAAGATCAACGAACAAAAACTAGGCGCAAGATTATGAACGCGCCTCGTCGTTGACACCACGTTTCAAATACCGGGCTCCGGCAAAATGGCGAGACCTTCGAGCTATGAGGGTGACGTAGATGACCCGTCCAAGGACCGTCAACTCTAAGGTTGTTGAAGCAAATAAAGCTTGGAGCACTGGGTACTTACTTGCTTGATCTACGTGTCCGTGCACCATAGGCAATATCCAGTATGGCTTCAAATAGGGGTGCTCGTCGTTGCCAAATGGCGCGGTCATCATATGGAAATTCCATGCAAACCGGTCGTTGAATGGCCAACTCCCTTGAACAGAGCGGCTTGACCCGGTGAGATTATGCTGTAGAGTTGAGGTGATGTCGTAGGTATAACTGTGAAGAGTAAGTGGGAGGGTGTGGAAAGCGCGAGGGCGAACCTGAAATAGAAATTCTTGGACATATCGACCTGCTTGAAGATGTTCATTAGACGCTGCTCTTCCGCTGGCTTGTCAACTTTGTGGTTGAAACAAACGGGGATCATTTCGGTATTCTCGCAATGGTAGAGATAGTGGCCACCCAGAAGGGCGACATATGAACGCTTGGTTATGAGGATCATGTACCACCCCGCCGTGAATTGCACAAAGCCTGGCAGAGATGAGCTCACTCCGATTTCACGATGCTCAGACTCACCTGCGATACCGAAAAACACTCTCGCCTTGCCTAACCCTCCTGAGCTCTTGTTTCCGTCGTCGAGCATCTTGAGCATCGCGGTCATTTGTTTGCCGCTGTATTCTGCGTCATCCTCCACCACGTTAAGCTCATCCTGCGAAGTCCTGTCGACCTTGAGAATTCTATGCCGTGAATCTGTAGTATTGGACGCGACGATGAAGAACCGGACGCGGTTTTCGTAGAGAACAAACTTGTTGAAAGCTGGCGGTGCTTTACGTGAAGATGGCAGTAATGAATGCTTGGACTTGTTATTGAGAGGAACTGAAGCACTGGTCCTGGAGCTGAGAGATGGCGCTGGCTCTCTGGCTGAAGCCACGTCGTCTGCCTCTGTCTCCATTTGTGTATGGAGGTTTCAGTCAGACTGTGAATTTGGTCTGAGAGTGAGTGGGTCGACAAAAATAGTATGGACGGCGTGGTGGTTAGCGTTGAGCCATGTTCTCGTGTTGCCGTGAGCCGAGTTCAAGTTCGAGCCAATCTGGCAGCTCATCAATGGTGACTCAGCTTGTGATGGCTCCCCAATCGAGTGTCGCTGCCATTGTCACTCGATGATAGCAAGGGTCAAATAATATAGAACATCCTACTTTCGCCTAATAGAAGGAGTGGTACATTGGTTTCTCGATGCCCCAAAGCCATTGAGCAAAGGATTTCGTGTCAAAAGCAATGGCTTACAGTGCATTTCCATATTGGGCCACGCGAGCTCGATCAGACGGATTTGGGACGAGCCGAGAACGAGCCGAGTTTAGCTCGGCTCGTCGACGAGCTCGTCGTGACGGTCGTTCGCTTCCTTTCACCATGTTCAACCCACCCGCACCGTATGACCCTACTGACACCAAAGGCTTCTCGTTAGTCGACTGAATCCATTGCGTCAAACTATTTAGTATTCCAAGATATCAGACCGTTGTCCACCGTTGGCCTGTTATAATCACTGGGTTCAACACAGAACTGGCCTTTTGTCACGAGTTTTAATCCCAAATACACAGCGTCCTCGACCGACTACATCGTCTGAGCCATGACATAATCATATCCGACGGCCCCGAAGAGGGAGAATCGAAAGTCAAGGTCGATGAAGCAAAGGACATCATTGCAAAGATTAGCCGATTGAAGTACGAGATGGGACGCGATCATGTTCTGGAGTAGGAAATCTTTCGAGCACAAGGCATTCCACCAACCCTCTGTCCAGTCCAATTCCAGACGACGGGGAGCCTTTTGATAGGTATAACGCTGAACTCCAACGCTTGGCCGATAACTCCAAGAACACTTGGTTCACAGCGCCGTGGCTTTTTGCAGAGTATGTGTCTTGCAACATCCACCGCTTATGCTGAGTAACGGTGCCTTAGATGCTACCTGTGGGTATTTTTCAAGCCTTCATGAGGCAAAGGCCTGAAAATGTTCTAGATACCGACTCCTTCGCTCGTATTTCCTCCAAACGACACAGTGGTCTCAATTCGATCCGTTCTCCTTTCAGAAACAAGAAACCTTTCAACAATCGGGGAGGGCGATTGCTCGTATGGCCCTCGCCTACTTTGACCTCATCAACTAACTCGGATGGGTGTAGAAATCGCAAAGAGTATGCACGAAGTGGACATAGAGCATCAAACCGTGGAAGCAGACACGAGCAAGCTCGCCATATTATTCGCAGAAATGATTCAAATGTGTCTCTGGTAAGTCATGTTGCCCTTGTGCGATCTGTGCTTCAAGTTACTGCCAGGGGAAACGCCACCGTACTTCATTTCCTGTTTCTCCCTCCCTTTCTCATTGACTACAGGATCTTTCTCTACTTACCCACTTGTCTTCCGCAGACATTGAGCATCTGCAAACCGTGGGCAAGGATGCTCAAGATGCACGACGAGAATTCATCCTACGGGATGACCAAGCGAAGGTCTGGCAACATATCAGCGGTGTTCTCAATGGCCAAGTCGACTTCGTCCTTGATAACGGTACCATTATTCATGTCTTCGCTTATTCATCCACTGAGACTCTAACAGCTGGCTTCGAGGCTAGTTTGATTCTACAACTGCCATAGAACTCAGTAACAGTTTACAGCTGTATACGGATCTCGTGTTCGCGGATTTTCTTGTTACGCACACACCATATGTTTCTAGAGTCGTCTTCCAGTGAGTCGAGATACTGTGCCAAATCGTTTACTCAAACCATATGCATTAGTCCCAAACTAATCCCATGGTTTGTTTCGGATGTGAGCTTAGACGCATAACTTTGCGGTCTTATCTTATCTTGTCACAGGTCACGCCTAGTGACTTTGCGAGCACTTTGACCTCACTGCTTGATCCTACATTCCTTTCACTCTCTGAAGAAGATCAAGGATATGTGAATATCATGGTAAACCGGTGGAAAGGATATATCGACACCAATGTTTTCTCTCTTTCGGTCCCCCATTCTACACCACTTGGCGGTGGATCGGATTCAAACACGACAGAACTGGCCGGATTCTGGACGGAAGCGGCACCATACTGGGAGATGGAGACGTTGGCACCTCGTCTCTGGCAGACCTTGAAGACCAGCAACCTCGTAATATTCAAAGTAAGCCCCGAATTGCGTCGTGTGTCTCTAACTGATACTGTTGATCATTTACTAGGGCGATCTCAAGTGAGTGAAACACAACTAGTTCGCCATAAAAGTCATCTTTATCCTAGTTATCGCAAGTATGTTGTTGTTCAACTCTGGTTTTACCGTTCATCGTTGTGAGCGATTCACAGGCTCACTGGTGACGTGCAATGGGAAGCATGGACCGATTTCTCTGTCGCGCTCGGCAACTTGAGTGGGTCGTTTCCAATTTTAAGTCTCCGGACCAACAAAGCGGACGTTGTGGTTGGAGTTCCCCGCGAAGTTGCAGAGAAGTTAGATGCGAGCGGATCGAAATGGAGGGTGGATGGAAGGTGAGTGGCATCAGTATCCACGTGAAAACAACTCAATCTCTAGCAAGGTATGCGCTCATATCGTTCCTGCCAGCTGCATAGAAGATACGGCTATGCACAAATAACATCAATGAATTAGACGGCCTTTACTTTAATGACTCAGCAGGGCCAATATCCGCATATAATCCTCGCGCTGCCCTTGAAAGGTTTCCTCGAGCTTTTCCAAACGCTCTTCTTTGTCCATGCCAGTCAACGTTTCCTGTGAAGGAGATCAGTCGAATGTGAAAAAAAAACGCTTCAAAATGACCCACAAAGTTGAAGCGATATAATCGTTCCTTGACTTGCAGACGATAGGCGCGAATACTTGATTCGTCGGTGGGATCCAAACGAAGGAGGATTAACATTTCAATGAGACGGTGGAATTGACGCTAGTAGGATACTCTCAGCACCAAAGGAAAGAGGCGAAACATTAAGCCTACCGCGGCCATTTTTAGATCGCTTCGCCATTTTTCTCGCCAGGCTCTGTCCACGGGTGGCCCCAATTTTCCTTTTCCACCACTGGTCTGGCTACCCCCACGACCACTGCGTCCGCCCTTACCAACCCCTCCCACTCGGCCTCCACCATGAGAAACGGCGTCACCCCCGATAGCTTCTTCCATGAATTGTTTGTTTCCCAAAAGCATCAAGAGATCGTTTTTGTCGCGCAGGTCTTCGAACGCCTCTGCTGGATCTTCCACGGTCAGCTCAGCGATTTTCGGTTTAGACATGACGTATTGATATAACGCGTTGTATAGCTCAGCTGCAAATAACCTTGAGACGCAAAAATACGCGGCAGACCCAAGTACTCACAGCCGTGTCCACTACGCTGGTAAGGTGGTAAAATGACGAACTGACTAATAAAGCTCAATGAACATGGTTGTTCGGGGACTTCATACGGACCTTAGTCGCAGACGAACACGGTCGGGGAAGCAGAAGAATGGATATAGTGATGTGTAGCCCACGAAATGATATGTGCTGACATCTGGCGTCGCTCGCCGCTTGCGCTTCTCGTACCTGGACACAAGTTTGAAAGGTAATACTTGGAACATTACTGCAACTCACAGAACAATGAATTCCCAAGTATCTTCTTCCTCGTCAATGTACGAGCCAGCCTCAATGTAGAGAAGAATGAACAATTGCATCCTCCGATGCAATTCCCGAAAGCCAGGAGACGCCCATGTTGCCTGAGAAAATTGAGAACGCCATTGGGTGAAAAAGATATCTTTGACGCACGTGGTACGCCTCGAACACGACTGTTTCCTCAACATTTGGTTCCAGAATTGCAATACCCTTCCCTTTGCTGTCTAATGGAGGCGCAGAGCGAGTATAAGTGCGGATTAACTCCCCGGGGGGCTTGAAGGCGATGGAGTCCACCTCTACACGCTCCAAAAACGATTTTTCGTCGCGATAGACGTCTGACGCGTCCTAAGTTGACAGAAACACAAAGACGGTTTGAGGACACACCTTCCGGAAGGAATTTGGCCAAAGTCCCCTCAACGTCATCAACGGTGGACGAAGAGTCCAGCTTCTTGGCGTATTTTATGTTGAGAAACGGCGCGAGAGAGCCTGACGCGAATCTAAGCTGGAAGGACGCGTCAAAAGCGCGTTTAAGTGGCAATGAAGACGGACATCAATGGTAAGGCCATTATAGCCATAGATTTTCTCGTCGTCTCCGTATATCTAGATCTGAATAAGCTTGTTCTGCAGAAATGGGCATCCACTCACTGGGTATGTAAATCGTGGGTGAAAGGATTGTGTTTCTTCGACCTGGTCGTCCGCTTGTGCTCGAACTGTGCTGTACTTAGCCGGGAGCATCAAAACCTGCGAAAGACCGACCAAGGGATAGGCACAGTGCCTGATTCGCGTCTGCAGTCCAATCAGTCATTGCAGTCGGGAACAAATTGGGAAAGACGCGCCAGGTCACATGAGCACTAAGATTGGGTGCCCGAAAACTTGACTCGATCCGATATTCTTGCTTTTCCCACTCACATCGCTGGTATCTGAGGAAATGTCTGCCGATTCCATACCAGCCACTGTTGAAACCATTACCGCAGCCGTTGCAGCTGTAGCTATCTCCCCCTCAGTTTCCGGCCAATCTGTTGATGAAGTGGCCAACGACTCCTCTTCTCAAGCCCAAGTCGTCACTCCATGGAAAGTGGAGGGCTCAGTCTCGGCCGATGGAAAACAACAAGCCATCGATTACGATAAACTAATAGAGCAATTTGGGACGCGCAGAGTCGACCAAGCCCTTCTGGAGCGGTTTGAGAAACTAACTGGGCATCGGCCACACGTATTTCTCCGTCGAGGGATGTTCTTTTCACACCGGTGTGTAAGTGTCCCTTGAAGCGATCCCCTTCTTCATGCATTTGCACAGTGAATTCGACAAAATTCTTGATCGGTATGAGCAGGGAAAGCCCTTCTTTCTTTACACTGGTCGCGGCCCAAGTAGCGACAGTATGCATCTGGGCCATATGATACCATTCGTCTTCACAAAGTGAGTACTTGAATTTCTGCTGCTGCCTTCCTCTCAAGCTATATCGCAGATGGTTGCAAGACGTATTTGATGTCCCATTGGTCGTACAACTTACGGGTGCGTCCTTGTAATCTACGACTCTTGACTTCTCTCTCTGATTCGTTTCTAGATGATGAGAAATTCCTCTTCAAACACGAGCTCAAAGTTGATCAGGTCAAGAAATTTGCGCGACAGAATGCCCGCGATATCATTGCTGTCGGCTTCAACCTCGAGAAGACGTTCATCTTCAGCAACTACGACTATGTCGGTGGACCGTTTTACGAGAATGTTTCCAAAATTTCCCGTCAAATCACATATAACCAGGCTAAAGCAACCTTTGGGTTCAACGACTCGTATGTTAACTTGATGTTTTTCACCCGTACAACCTAATACTTCGAAGGGATAACATCGGAAAAATCCATTTTGCGTCCATCCAAGCTGCACCGTCATTTTCCAACTCATTCCCACAAATATTTGGCACGGTGTCGAACATCCCCTGCTTAATTCCCTGCGCGATTGACCAGGATCCATACTTCCGTCTCACTCGCGATGTGGCAGTGAAGCTCAAGTATCCAAAACCGACGCTTCTCCACGCCAAATTTTTCCCTGCGCTGCAAGGCCCGCAAACCAAGATGAGCGCTAGCGATCCAAATAGCAGCATTTATATGACCGACACTGCTGCTCAACTGAAGAATAAAATCAGCAAGCATGGTTTCTCTGGCGGGCAGGAGACCGTAGAGGAACATCGTAGACTGGGCGGAGATACCGAGGTCGATGTTAGTTACCAATACTTGTCTTTCTTCCTCGACGACGACGCGGAATTAGAAAAACTAGGATCAGTAAGTGAACAGGAAATCGCAAAGCTATCATTGACTTTATTGGAGGATTACCGGTCGGGCGAGTTGTTAACTGGGCAGTTGAAAGCTCGGTGCATTGATGTCCTTCAGCACTTTGTCCGTGGTTTCCAAGAGGTCGGTCTTTTGAGAGCACCCCTTCTTACAATCATCCTTATTGGCCTCGCAGCGGAGAGCACAAGTCACCGAGGAAGTTATTAACGCATTCATGGACCCATCGAGGAAAATTGACCCTACCCCCCGCAAAGCAGCCTCATAAAAATTGTATTCTAGAAAAGTCTATGTCGACTGCAACGGATCTACCTGTTTTTTCTCTTTGGTTTCCGTCCATTTGAACAGAGCGTCCTCAGCATCGCGCTTCCAAGTATTCAAGGCTGCGAGTGCGGCTGTTCCCCAATCGAAAGTTTCGTGGTCATCATACGAGCTGGGGCCGTCAACGAAGATGATGAGGTCCCTGGAGTTAGGCTTGATAAATCCAAACTTGATGCCATTGTCCACCAACTGACGAAGAGGTTCGTAGAAACCAAGAGCATTAACCAGGACCACAGCTAACGGGAGTTGAGCCAGTCAGAAAAATGCAGTTTCATATTATACTGACGTTTATTGTGAATGCCTAGTTGTGTCCAGGTTGTCACTTCAAGCACCTAAATAGTGTCAGTGCACCGTGACTGCGTCTTGCCGAATGCATGATATCACTTCTTCATATGTTCCGAATCCTCCTGGTAATCCAATGAATCCACCGACCCTTTGGGCCATCTCAACTTTGCGCTCATGCATTGAATTGACCACGACGTGTTCGATCTGTAGAGAGAGTTATGAATGAAACAGGATTTATAACCCCAACTCACTCGTTCACGTCCCACCTCGTTCAGGTCGACACTAACACCCGGAGCCTTCTCCGATTCTCCTCCAACCATAGCATAGGGGACCACTCCGGTAACCTTGCCGCCGCATTGTATGACTGCGCCAGAAACGACTCCCATGAGTCCTTGATTTCCACCGCCATAGACGAGTTGGCGGTTTTGCGCAGCAATGGCGTGTCCTACAGAGATAGCTGCAGCACTGAATGCTCTGTGAGTTCCCATGGACGACCCGCAGTATACTGCTATAGCATTCGACACCATTTCGGTTGATTGCTCTGAAGTTGCAAGAGGGAAGAAGTAGGAGCTCGAGCTCCGCCGAACATCGGGTAACGCGAGTCATAGAATATGTTGAGCACTTGCTGTCCAAATCTTCTTGGCAAATAACACAGTCATTTCTGAGCTCGTCAAAGAGCTCGTCAAAGCAAGAGGCGTGGAGCGCTAAAAGTTAGATGAACGCAGTCACTACGCCGCAGTGAAGTAAGTGTCACAGCCATATCGAGGCTGACCACAACCCTCATACCCGCCCTCCCTTTCTTTTCCTCCTAGACGCGAGACAGTATGGCTACTGGCGCATCTGGCCTCGGCACTGAGATTGTTGGCACAATCAACAAACTACAAGATGTCTTTACGACCGTTGGTTCATCTGCCTCTGCTATAGACCTGCCCCAAATCTGTGTTCTTGGTAGTCAAAGTAGCGGAAAGAGCAGTGTTTTAGAGGTATTATTTATCCTCTTTCAGAGTTGCCCCCTCACTTCAAATAGAACATCGTCGGTCGGGATTTCTTGCCTCGTGGTTCAGGCATCGTGACGCGTCGACCTCTGGTGCTACAGCTTATCAACAGACCAGCTGGTACTCCACCACCTGCTGGAGATGCTGCTCGTATGTCGCTCTGTCTCCATTCACCCTTCGTGCTAACTTTTGTGACAGCCAAAGTCAATGGGACCGACAAAGCCGGCGACAAAGGTGCCAACCCAGACGAGTGGGGCGAATTTCTCCATCTCCCCGGCGAAAAGTTCTACGACTTCACCAAGATTCGGGACGAAATCGTTCGCGACACTGAGGCCAAGACTGGTCGCAATGCAGGCATTTCACCCCTCCCAATCAACCTTCGAATCTTTTCTCCTCACGTCCTCACGCTCACTTTGGTCGATCTTCCTGGCATCACCAAAGTTCCCGTCGGCGACCAACCTCGGGACATCGAGAAACAGATAAGAGACATGCTGTTCAAGTACATTTCGAAACCTTCCTGCATCATACTTGCTGTTACGGCGGCGAATCAGGACTTGGCTAACTCTGAAGGATTGAAGATGGCACGGGAGGTTGATCCAGAAGGAACGAGGACAATCGGTGTTTTGACCAAAGTTGATCTCATGTGTGTGGCAGCCAGTCATCTCTTCTTGCTGACCCTAACCAATGATATAGGGACACTGGTACAGATGTAGTAGACATTCTTGCTGGGCGTGTTATTCCCCTGCGGCTAGGATACGTCCCAGTCGTCAACAGAGGGCAGCGCGACATTGAAACCAATCGCCCCATCACCGCTGCCTTGCAGAAGGAACGTGAATTCTTCGACACCCACCCTTCGTACCGAGGAAAATCTCAATACTGTGGCACACCTTTCCTCGCCCAAAAACTCAACTCGGTGTGTGACCGTGTCCTTCATTTTTGGTGCTCGCGTGCCAAACTGTATAATAGATCCTCAAGGCCCACGTCCGCAACACTCTTCCCGACATCAAAGCTCGCATCACACAGCAGTTACAACGCTATCAGTTAGAACTTCAATCACTAGGTGGACCTCTGGGAGACAACAACGCCAACGTCATCCTTTCAGTTATCACCGAGTTCTGTGCAGACTTCAGGACTGCTATCGATGGAAATACCAATGATCTGTCGCTCAACGAGCTTTCTGGAGGAGCACGTATCAGCTTCGTGTTCCACGAGCTCTACAACAATGGCATCAAGAATATTGACCCATTTGACCTCGTCAAGGATGGTGACATTCGTCTTATGCTTTATAACACCGCGGTACGATATCTATAGGTTCAACTCCCCTCTCTTATCAGAATAACAGGGCTCTACCCCCGCTCTCTTTGTCGGAACTGCAGCGTTCGAAGCTGTGGTTAAGCAGCAAATTCTGCGGTTGGAAGAGCCCAGTCTCAAATGTTGTCAGTTAGTATACGACGAATTAATTCGAATTCTGGGGCAATTGCTTGCCAAGATTGTGAGTAACCTCCGAATTTTCCTTCTGTACACTAATTGATGTATTCGATAGCAAGTCTTCCGACGCTATCCTGCGCTGCGCGAACGCTTCAATTCCGTCGTCATCAACTTTTTCAAGTCGGCAATGACGCCAACGACGAAGCTGGTTAGCGATATGGTGGCGTATGTTTTGAGTGCATTCACTGATTATATGCTTGACGATCACATAGAATGCAAGCTTGCTACGTCAACACAACCCATCCAGACTTTATCAATGGACATAAGGTACGTTCTTGATTGCTAGAAGTTTTCAGTCCTCGACAATCGTGCGCAGGCCATGACAATCGTCAATGACCGCCTGAATGCCAACAAGCCTCCGCCACAAGCCGCCGACCCGAAGAAACTAGTACCTGGTCAAATCAACAACAACAAGGATTTGGATGTTGAGGCTAAGAAAGAGGAACCGAGCTTTTTCGGGTCCTTCTTCGCCCCGAAAGCAAAGGCCGCTGCTGCCAAGAAGAGTGGCATATCGACCATGGAAGCCCCTCCAGCAGTTATCAAGCCACAAGCCGCCCTTAGCGAGCGCGAGACGATGGAAACCGAGGTCATCAGTGCGTAATCAGTTTTTCTGTGAGCCTAAGCTGATAATGGCTGTTTATAGAGCTTCTGATCCACTCTTACTTTAACATCGTCAAGCGGGAGATGATCGACATGGTCCCCAAAGCCATCTCGCTGACGCTTGTGACCCACTCAACCAAGAACCTGCAACGAGAGCTGTTACAGGAGCTCTATAAGCCAGAGGTGTTGGATGAGCTGCTTCAGGAGAGCGAAGCTGTCGTTCATCGCAGGAAAGAGGTTATCGGCATGGTACAGGCACTCAACAAAGCTGAGGAGTATGTTCTTCATGTTTGTGGCCGTTGACCTGTCATTGACCAAATCATAGGATCGTTGCGGGTGTGTAGCTTGTCGCTGGGTGTCTTTGGTGGATCTCCTACCCTCGCAAACATTATGTCCTCCCGTAATAAATTATATTCGCATATCTGCTTTCTGGTCATCTTCATTGGATTCAATGTTCGTGAAATCTGGGTTGATTCGCGGTCACATGATTTTGTGTCAACTGGGTCGTTGTCAAACGCGTCCATTGTTAAGCATTTCAAGATGACAGAGAAACGATTCAAATATATTTTAGAAGTGTCAGCCACCAAGCTTGAAATCGACGAGATGGACTGAGGACGGTGTCGTTCCTGTACTGGAAACCTGATAAAGCACTGACACCAAGCCATTTCCTGCCCGTGCCCTGTCCAACGTAACTTCACCAAAGACATCAAGGCCAGCCGCAGTCCCGTTGTATGCCATGGCCCAGTCGGTATACCCACTCGACTTGCTCGCGGTGGCTACGCGGAGGAATGGCATGAACACATAAGCGTTGTCCTGCGAGTCAAGCACGATTTGGGAGCGTCCGACAGATTGGATATAATAAGGGATTTCGAATTTGATGAAGCTTCCGTTGGCGGCTTGGTACAGGTGGAATGCATGGGCCCATTGCGGCCGGCCGGTTTCGTAGTCTGGCACGCATTGGGTAAAGCGGCCTACAGTCAGTCAGAAAGTCGAGCAGCAGAAAAAGCAGATATGTAACCTGGAACGTAGGAGATGATTGAATGGATGCGGCCAGCTGAATCGACAGTCTGCGATTCCTGATTCATGAGGGCGTGGTCCGCATTGAGCGAGTCGACAATGATGCCGGCGGTGTTGACATTTATTGGACTACTACCGGAGGTACCAACTTTGGTCCCGGCAGTGTTGAACCATGTGCGGCCTAATAGCGTTGAGTGACATTAGGAATCGTTATGTTGGACGCACCAGAGTCATCCGAGTAAAAGTAGACAGTATCGTGATTCGTCAACCCCGAGCTGCTGCAAGCTACCGCTCCATTCTGCTCTCTCCATGTTCCCGTGACATATGCGCGAGTACCATGGTAGGTGAAGCCATGGATATAAAGATTCCTCAAGGTGCTTGTTGCGCCACTAGGCGCTGTGTATGTCCCAGTTGCTGAGGCCCACGAGCCGACATTGTTCCAAGCACCTGAAACTGGTCGGTTACAATTTTTTGGGTGAGCAAACCAACTAGCCTCCACTGTACTCAGCGAGCTGGGTTGCTCCGTTTCCGGACACTCCCGTTCTAAAAACGAACTGCAAGAGATTGGATGGCGTAACGACAAATCTAGGTAAACAAAGGTTAGATCCGTGGTATCAAACGAAAACAGGAGAAAAGCCATACTGAGGGTAGGTTATCTGACTGTACTGTGTGAAGTAGCTGTGTTAATGGCGCAACTCCAACTCACCTTCCTATATTTAAGTTTCCTAGATTGTTGGTGATCGTTCCAAACCGACTTGCAACCCAACTTGCTCCACTAGTGGCCAGGTTTGCCTCGGATCTGGTGTAGTACAGCTGGAGAGCGGTGATTGACTGAGCATGGATGTTGGGTGGGTACATACCTGCGTGCTGTGGCAATCCAGCGCAACATGAATAACTCCGTCCGAAGGCGAGATTCCAAGTGAGATAACGTTGTGACTGTCGCTGGTGGATAGTTTATGCGGCAACTGAAGCGTCGTCCATGATCCAGAGGGAAGAGTCCTTCGTCCGATGACTGCAGTACCGGAGGCTGTATACCACGCAGCATACTGAAAATTGCCGAATGCAATAACGGCAGACTGCTGGAACGAGTTCACATTAACCACCCCGTCGTAGGAGACGAAGAAGATGCCTGAATCAGGTCAAGAGGAGGCTTGACTGGTTTTAGGTGCAAACCTTGAGGATCAAGTAGGGTGTTGGAGACAACGGAAACCCCGGGAACGCCGCAGACGGTCCGTACGATTGTCAAAACCACAACTAGAAGAAATTGTACAAGTCGTATGAGGCTCATCGATTCACGTTGTAAGAAGCGTCCATGTTCTTGTCGTCTGCATCTTATAGCAAACCGATCGCGAGAAAGCAGGAAGAAACCCGGCCCGTGACACTCGTGACCGTGACATCTGACCCTCGAGCTACTATCAACAGCAACAAGCAGCTTTCTTCATCGACGTCAGTTGTTTGTATACTTCCAACAGAAGAGAAGCCGTCACAGATGCGGGACGTCGCCGACCAGGGCGGTATCACCGAATTCCTAGTCGCCACCGGTGTCCAACGCGCAATCGAATGCTACTTCAGGCCACATGATATATGCAATTCTGCTGAGGCCCTCGCGAGCCAAGGCCAACCATCTGCTTGTGACTGAAGATCGAAGTTTGAGGTGCTTCGTAAACGTCCGCCCAGCAGAACAGACCATTCGTATAAAGCTTCGATTTTATTTCCGCTGACGCGCCATCCACGAGGCTTTCACTCGGTCCGGACCTCTGCCTCCTTTAAAAAGTGCGCTTACTGCACGAAGCCTGTCTCTACGTCGCCATGGTCCACGCGTCTCTCCTCATTCCCCTCCTTGCCTCTAGCCTGGCTACTGCCAAATCTCTTCCAGCCGAACTATTCTCAAGCCTCATCCCCCCAAAGGTCCTTGCAACCTATAATGCCCTTCCATCCCCCATCGAATACCCACAATACACTGATACCTCTGCCGGCAAATGGAACTTTTTTAACGTAGGACCATTCTACTTTGGGAGACAACTGCTCTGACAATATCTACTTACTAGCCTGACACTTGGACCTCCGGTTTCTTCCCCACAACCCTGTACGCGCTCAACACTAGGAAGAACCTTTGTGGTGCCACAAACGCAAACGGCCTCAATGCCGCCAACTGGCTAAAATTAGGCCGCGCTGCAAGCACAGGGTTGATACCACTCGAGCTTAAGAATGGCCAGGTATTGGTCTCACACTTTCACGCGTTTGACTCACAACGCTATTGTAGGGCCACGACGTTGGTTTCCTCAGCTACCCTTTTGTGGAAGAACTTGCTATGTTTGTTCGACTTGCGTCGATTGCCTCAGCTCACGTGTGCCAGTAACCCTACGAATCAAACCGCACTCACGGCCGTCAAGCTCTTTGCTGCCGATCTTGCCGCCCGATTCAATCCCACGGTCGGCTGCACACGCAGTTGGGATTCTTCGGACCCCACTGATTTCCAAGTCATCATTGACAACATGATGAATCTCGAGATCCTTTTCGTCGCTTATGGTCTGACGGGGGACGAGACTCTGCGAAACATTGCAACTACCCATGCTGATACGACCATGAAGAACCACATCCGAGCAGATGGTTCGCCTTGCGTGATCTGAACCCAAATCCTATTCACAGCTATATTCAGGCTCTACATGGCACGTCGTCGAGTACAACTCTACCACTGGCCTGGTTATCCGCAAGAGAACCGCGCAAGGATATTCGGACGACAGGTAAAACCACCATCGACTTGCCGATTCTTTCCTCATTAAGTGATGCAGTACTTGGTCTCGAGGTCAGGCATGGGGTGTCTATGGATTTGCCAACAGTAAACATTTAGCCCTCCACAAAGTTTTTTCTTACCCCATCTATAGTGTATGCCCGTACCAGGAACCCCGAATATCTAAGTACCGCTCGCCGCATGGCTACCTACTTCCTAAATAACCTTCCCGCAAATGGCGTCGTCCCATGGTAAGTAGCCAGAGTTTCACTCTGTGTCGATGTTGACTACATATCTAGGGACTTCAATGCACCTCAGCCGCGTCCGGCTGACTCTTCAGCCGCTACCATCATGGCTAATGGACTGCTTTTACTGGGGTCTGTCGAAACGAGCCCCGCGGCGGCCGAACCATGGATCAATGCTGCAGTCAACGTAAGTTTGTTGAGACTACAGCGGGAGCGGGAGCTGAGGTACACATACAACAGCTTTTGAGCAGTATTACCACGTTGGCATGGAAGCCTCAATGGCAGTCCCTCCTGTCTAACGGAACCGTGAACTTACCTGCTAACAATTTCCTGACCGGTATCGTTTATGGGGACTACTACTACATCAAAGGCAAGTTTTCGTGCTTGTGTTTCGGTCATATCGCTAACGTGGCGTATAGCGGGCAACACGTTGAAGACGATGGGGCTTGCTACTTGCTCTTAATAATGTTAATGAAATTGGACTTGCCCGATGTAACGACTGCGATGAATATTACGACTGCGGTGATTGGATATCCAAATTTAGATCAGGCCCGTACTTCGCTTCTCTTCCATGAACGCCGACATGGCCAGTTGGCCCACAGAGAATGCGAGAGGATATAGAATTCCTGACCAACCGTTTGGCACAATTCGTCCGATGAAGATCGTCGCAATTGGCGCTGGTTGTTCTGCTGCCGTAAGCGAGATAAGACCACTCATACTGTCAACCAGGCATTTCTGGAATTAGCCTTGCACACGATGTCCAGGCAGAGGGCGTTAATCTAGACTTGACAATATACGAGCTCGCATCGGACGTGGGCGGGACGTGGTTTTGGAATCAATGTTGGTTTGAATGGGTATATGGAGCCTGAGGGAGCCTGAGACTGACCGTTGAATAGATCCTGGCATACGATGCGACATACCTGCAGTCAACTACCAGATGCACTGGGCCCCGAAGCTCGACTGGTCTGAGTATTATTCAACGGGGGGCGAGATTCAGCAATACTACAGAAGCTTGGTCGACCAGTGAGCTCGAGTCTGAGCGGTGTGCTTGATTTATTGTGTCTCACTCATCACAGGTTCAATCTTTGGAAATATATCAAGCTCCGCTACGAAGTGCTCAGCGCTGAATGGGACCAAGCTGTATTTAAGTGGCGGCTTCGAGTCCAAGGGCCAGATGGAAGCGAGTTCTCTGACGAGTGTGATGTCTTTCTGAACGGAGGCGGTGTCCTCAACAACTGGAAGTGGCCGTCGATAGAAGGCCTCCACTCGTTCAAGGGCACTCTCTGTCATACCGCGCGATGGCCGAAGGATACCTCACTCAAAGACAAACGCGTAGCAGTCATCGGGTCCGGCTCATCGGGTATCCAAGTCCTGGCCGCTATCCAACCCGAGGTTACGCAACTCTACCACTGGATACGCTCGCCAACTTGGATCACAGGCGCATTTGCTCCGCAGTTTGCCGGAATTGGCGGGGTGAACTTTCGCTGTGAGTCGCCTGTCACGTGACTTCTCTGCTCACCCAATAATGAACAGACACGGAAGAGCAGAAGAAACGGTTTCAAGAGGACCCGAAACACGCGATGAAGTATCGAAAGATGATTGAGGTTTGCCTTTGGACTGTGTCTGGTGTCGGAACCGTAACAAGTTTAGTCTGTAGGGCTTGGTTTTATAAAAATTTTGGCCTTAACAAACGGTTTGTAAAAAAATCTCCCCAAAACCCTGTTTATAAACCGGTTTTGAGGTTTTATAAACACTTCAGGCTAAGCAGCCCAACTGTGCCTCGCGTCATATAATTTTCATATGTTTGTCAAGGTGAAATACTACTAATAGTGGTGCCAGGTGAGGCTGAGAAGTTTCCCTTCAATAGCTACTATCTCAGCTAAATTTTATAGTGTAGGATACTTTTGATGGCAGAGATGTCACACTTTGGCTGACTGTCACAGTAGTGTCACATTGTTTACAAACACCCTTTTCCCAGAATGCCTGTTTATAAACAAATAAAACAGGGGTGTTTATAAACCGGTTTACAAACATCCCTATATAAACCAAGCCCTATTAGTCTGAGCTCAACGAGCGGTTCAAATTCCTCATCCAGGGAACGGAAGAGCAAAAGGCCGCTCTTGAGGTATTCTTTTTGTTTAACTCGGAGGTTTACTTCTCTGCAATAGTTCGGAAACAACGACATGCGCTCGAGGCTCAACGGCGATGAACGATTGATAAAGGCCATTGTCCCCACCGACTTTGCTGTTGGATGTCGCCGACCAACACCGGGCAATGGATATCTGGAGGCATTATTAGAGGCCAATGTGCAAGTCTACACAGACATGTTCCAACGTATAACCGAAAAAGGATTCATCGATGCAGACGGGAACGAAGTTGAGGTAGATGTCATCATCTGTGCAACGTGAGCGCACATCTAATAATGTAGTATCAATTCACCATCTTATAGAGGGTTCGACACGAGTTTTAGACCGAGAATTCCCGTATTCGCACACGGAATTAACTTGCAGGATTTGTGGAAGGATTACCCGATAGATTCGGTAGGTGTCGTATGGTCACCGGAGGTTTGTGGTGTGAAATTTTGCTAGTATCTCTCCATTGCCATCAAGAAGTTTCCCAATGTTTGTAGGGCGTTCCATTTGAGCCCCCGACTGACATGCTGCCAGTATTTCATGTACTACGGGCCACACGGGCCGACAGCACACGGTTCAGGAGCGCCAGTGATTCAGTCTTGTGAGTCTGTTGTTGAAATCCACCGTACAACTTGTCTCAATAAAAAAAAGACACCGCTGCATTTCTGCGAATCATCCGCAAGATGCAAGGCGAGAACATCCAGTCGATAACGATCAAGGACAAGGCTGCTGACGATTACAACGAGCACCGAGAGCTTTATGTGAAGAGAACTGCATGGGTAGGGCCGTGTGCATCGTGGTTCAAGCCACGGACTGGACCTGATAGTGGGTCTTCCTCCCTTGTTTGAATTGCGACGATTAGCTGTTCAGCGACACCAATGCTCTTTCCGGGCAGCAGGATCCTGTTCTTCGAGCTGCTGCACAACATCCGGTGGGAGGACTTTGACTACGAGTATGGCCATGCCGGAAACCGCTTTGGGTATCTTGGAAATGGGTTTACGACGCGGGAAAAGGACGGTCGCGGTGAGTGTTGCTTAGGTGGGGCCGAGTGTCGATGACAGGCTAGTAGATTCGACTTTTTATTACGGATTTTTGGATGGGAAAGACGAGCAGCCGGATTATTCAGATATACGAGCCATGTATGCTTGGAGATGACTCTGATGAGAGCTGAATGTAAGCCGGTTTCCGGATCAATATTTGATCGCGATCACTTTCCACTTGTTCCGAACCCCCACCATGCAGTTACGGCTCTGCACACTCTTTGGTTTTCTCCTCCCGGTCCTCGCACAGAGCGACCAGCAAATCGTCATTAACCAGCCGACCACCATGAAGCCAACTATTGCGGACTTGCTCACCATCGAGTCGTCTCTCAGCATCTTCTATGGATACGCGCGAGAGCTCCATTTAAGCAATACCTTCTCCGACTCGAATGCCCCAGAAATAACCGTCCTCGCGCCAACCAACAAGGCGGTTATGGCGCTCGCACGGAAGCCGTATGTTGCCTAAACTCCGTATGAGCTTATCTCCATCTCCCCAAAAGACACCAAGACCCAGTCCCGGCAGACGACGGCGTGATAATAACCGAAGAGGAATTTGACGCCAAGTCGAAAGAGAATGTCCAGCGGTGGATTTCAGCCCATATCATCCCACACGGCGCAATCCAATTCGACGACCAAACATACGACACCTTGCTAGACGGCAAGAGTCTCACGTTTTCGTCCAAGAAGGGGAGCTCGGGACCTTTGGACTGGAGTCATGCCTCTTTTGGAGACGACATTCATATCGTTGGGAAGCGCGAGGTGAGCTCCAGCTACTGTTCAATTTGGGGTGCTAATCCAACTCGGTCGCAGGCGGCGAACGGAATAATATACCTTATTGACGGCACTGTCCTGCTTGATTGAGCTCTAGTGTCCCCACACGTTGTAATTCTACCTCTTGTTCTACTCCAAGCCTCCCTGGTTCCATCGGCCCGCTCGCCGCATTAGACTTGAGGTTATCAGAGCGCTGGGGCCATGTGCTCTTGCTGCTGGGCATATAAAGCAGGCGAGGTCCTTGGTCGTTTGCATTCACACACCTAGCTCTGAAACAACAAACATGCAAACTGTAGGTTTTCTTTCTGCCTTTATGTTGCGACCAGGCAGCTGAACGGTGTCCAGACCATCTCTGCGCCTGTTAATGCCAGCTGCGGATCATCCTCCTGCAACTGCTCGTCGACGTATGAATCTAATCTTCGTCATCGTGTTTGGACACCCTGATTGTCCCCTGTAGTTGCGGCTGCAAGCCTGGAGAGTGCAAGTGTTAAGAGCTTAGAGGCTACCGAATTGAACACGACGAATACAAGAACTTTAGCAGTGCCACTTTCTCTCACCGTGCTCGTAGTGTCGTTGTCCCGTCGATGATTTGTTCTCTTAGATTTGCGCTCATAGCAAATCACACCTGTAAAACCAAAGCTGGTATGATAATGTAGCGGATTCGAATATTTGTAAGCACACGTGATAAAGCGGTATTTGACTCGGAAGGCAGGCAACTCCGATGTTGCTGGTCATCGGCAGAGTTGTACCAGACGCGGATGGCCGTTCTGTCGCAAATACGAGTTGCTCAAGAGTCAACGGTAGTTTCTCGACCAACTTAAAGTTCTCGACTGGTGCGTAGATAGTACCCCCACTTGCACAGGAGAATTCCACTTGCTGACTCAGACTCGGTGTAGACACTGTGCCAATGTTTACCTGCGATTCTGGTGGGCAAGTGCTGCCGACCTGTCGACCATTGTATGCTAGCGCAACCCCATCGCCATCAATGCCAGCTGCAGGCGTGTGTGTGTGTGTAAACTGAATAATGCATCAGCATTTTCGAAGGCTTTGCAAGTTCAAATCTTGTGGTCAGTCCACATGGCTGTGGGTTATTCGCGGCTACTGCATATAAACGCTCTCGCTACCAGTCGTTCTTGTGGCTTTACAACTGCAGAAAATGCGTCTTCTGGTCGGCACTTTGGGTCTATGGTTCTGTCTTGTTTTGGCTGCTCGCCTTGACCTGCGTGCGACCTGGACTGGTCCTCTGAGCACTCGGGGTCGCTATGTCGTCGATGCCAACGGCAATCGTTTCAGAATGCGGGGCGGAAACTGGCACGGTGGAAGCGGAACCTATCTAGGCTCTGGTGACATCAACGACGATGCAAACCACCACGAGGGGGAGAATGCGTGCGTATTTGCTCTCAGTTGAAGCCATTGCTCAGCTTTTTCCAGGCACACTATGCCGCTTGGTCTCCAATATATCCCAATCGACAAAATTATAGACTCCTTCGTCGAAATTGGGATCAACACAATTCGTCTTCAATTTGCGCATTCCATGATTCGCGACACCACTGTTATCAACGACGCCTGGGTGGCCGCCAACCCGCAGCTCAGGGGGCTCACCCCACTGCAAGTCTATGATGCTGTCATTACTGCACTCACCAACCGCGGCGTTGCTGTCATCATGGACTACCACGCAATTAAGGCTACCTGGGCGGATGATGACAATCAACGCTGGGATGAGTCACAAAGCTTCGACTCATATGCGGCCGACTGGGTATTTATGGTCACTCGCTACAAGTCCAACAAGCGTGTTGTAGGCGCTGATCTTTATAACGAAGTCCGTCGCGATATCTTGACTGACCCGAACTGGGGCAATGGAGACGGCGCCGACTGGCACCAGGCTTCGCAGCGTGTTTCTGACCAGATATTGACTGCTAACCCTGACATCCTCACCATCGTTGAGGGCATTAACTGGGTCGGCATTCCCATCGATGGCTTTCCTCACGGCCGCCCTACCCTCATTCCTGTTGCGGAACTCTCGCACGTTCCACTCGTTCCTCATAAGCTTGTTTACAGCGCCCATTTCTATGCCTACACTGGCCCTAGCCACACCGGTGCGACTGGTCTCGGCGAAACCACCGACTCTCGCTACCGCGACCTCGGCCGTGACGATCTTTTCGCTGTCCTCAAAAGCTCCGCACTCTATGTCGCCCTCACCAGCCAGATGCACTATACCGCGCCAGTCTGGATCTCCGAGTTTGGTGTCGCGCGCACGGACGACTTGGCTTTAGATCGCACGTGGTGGTCGAACTTTCTCGATTTCCTCGCTCAGACGGATGCAGAATACGCGTTCTGGCCGCTTGTCGGCTATCTCAATGCGACAACTATGGCCGGCAACGGGTGGGCGCTGATGAACTGGGAGAAAGTACCTGGTGGTGGCACCCGTAAGGGCCTGCTTGACGGAGACGACTGGCGAGCAACGGCGTGGAACCAATTGCTGAATGCAAATTCAGCGACTGGCCAGATTGCGATTGTCCCGGAGTGGAAACAACTGGCTCTTGACCATGGTGACTTCATCCAGTCACAGTATGCCCGCGCCAACCTTGGCGACTGGGACAACGGCGCATATAAGGCAAACTGCCCCGATAACTTGCGCCTAATCGGACTGTCACGTGGTTCAACGCGGGGCCTCTGCACGGACGTTGGCCTGGGAAACTTGTTTGATGGCGCGACACAGACTGTGTGGGACGAGCGCTATCTCCGTAATGACTGGGCCAGCGGCTACACCAAGTACACCTGCCCCGTCAACTTCTATGCTGCTGGCTATGCTATCCGCGGCGCCAAAGTGTCGACGGTTATTTGTGCCCGCGCAAACAAGCCGCTTGGTACCAATGGCCGCACTGTCTGGTTTGATCAGGGCGACAACAGGGCCGACCAGCTTGGTGGCGACTTTGCGGCATACCAGTACAAGGGGAGCTGCGCTTCGAATGAGTATATCGGCGGAGTTGCGTTCACAACCAGGATCTTCAGCAACGGCGCTCCGGCCGCTATTTATTGTGTGTCGTAGTTGGCCTATACCTTAGCGCTGTGAATGGATGGCATTTATATCTAGGCAAACATTAGTCTTACCAAATATTGCGTACCTACTTGCCCTCAAACATCACCGACAGCGTTCGAGGATTGGATTAAGTGGGAGTTGCGGTCGGTATGGCATCAGAATCGGCATGAGTACTGGACTCAGGAGGGCAAGTTTCGACTCAGATATCAACTTAGTTGGCGGTTATTCCATGCAACGAATACAAACACTTATAGCATATTGCCCAATGCGATTGCTCTTGCTCCATCCTCCTGTAGTGCCCCAACGTCCTGCGAGGTCAGAAGGAATCATCAACGTCGCGGCGCTCGTCTCCTGTTGCGGGAGAACCACATTCCACGGTAGCAGCCGGTGGAAGTCACAGTAGCTAAGTCTGGCCGTCTGCTTTGAATGTGTTAATTTGGTTGCTCAACTCAGCAAAACGCGCGTACCACAGCTCATTTTACATTCCATCGAACTCATAAACTGTCCGACCACCCTCCTCAGCTAAGCTGATGTTTCGGAGTAACGGGTCAAGAGAGGCGAGCTCCTCCTTGATCCCATTCCTCGCAAACTGGTCGAGCTCCTTCAAAAGAACACTTGTGATCTTCTGCTCGTTCTTGTGTGAGAAGCGGGTTCGCATTGACGAAGAAAAAAACTGACCTTGAACTTTCCATCGATTTTCACAACCATTTCGCCCAACGAAGATGTCCACTGGGTACCCAGCATTTGGGATGACAGCTGTACGCCGCCCCCGAATCCGTTGGCAATACTCCAGAGGCTTCCAATTTCATTGTCGCCTGTTGATGATGGGAGATGTGGATTTGATGATAGCCGGGGATTGGAGGCATAATGTGGAAGTGGTGTGCTGTAGGGCCCATCATCGGAAAAAAGGTACGAGACACCAGGCTGGGGTGGAAGCATCCCAAATGGGCCTCTTGTCGGGGGAGGAAAGGGGGAGGGACCTAGCAGTTTCCCGATCTTGTTGTAGACCTCTGAGAGAACGTCGATGAGTGAAATCAGTGTTTGGTGGTAATCCAATGGAAAGGGCTGGGTTTAGTGAGTGGAATTCTCGGGTAAGTTATGCTGACGCACGATATGTGGTGTGACGAGAGAGCCTTCAGAGGCTAACTTGGTCCTGAACAATCGTTTGGTCGTGCGCATCTTGGGTTTGTCGCCGTCCTCTTTTCCCTGCTCGTACTCCTGTAATGTTGCCAGCAAGCCTTTTAGAAGATCTTGAGGCTGCGTGATCTCCAGCAGATTCGAGAGCGACATGCCCAGTATGGCGAATCGGTATGTTCTAACAAATATTCAGTGTTGGTCGGGAGTCTGAACTGGACACAGACCGTTTCTTCATCTCTACATTGGTGAAGACTTTATCGAGGTCGCTCCGTGAGATGAGAATGGTGTGGAACCAGTGGCTCCGTCTGTCGCAACGGATGAGCTTCATTCCATCAACTAGTTTTGGTTTATACCCCTGATGAACACTCCGCATGTAGGTGAGGGTGACCATTCTCTTGTGAATGATATCCCTCAGATACTCGACAGAGGTGCCTTGCGCGTTAGTAGGATTGTTGAGTGTTGTGGTGTCGGAATACAGCGAAACGGAATCAAACTCCTTCGGCGTGGAAATTGTCGGGGTGGCAGGGACAGCCATTGCTCCTTGAGCAGTCTTAAAGCTTGAAAGCAGATTCTGGGCTGAGCTTTTGCGACGCATTTGCGGTCGTTCCATGGTCAGGTCAACCGGAGAGAAAGCGATGTCACAGTTTGATCTCAACAACCATGGAACCTTTCACTCCCCGCCCGCGAACAGGCCCTAGGAAGAAAATCACGCTCTCTGCGAAAGAGTATACCAAGGCAATAGTTGAGGTACTCTGGCTTGGCTTGCATTGCTGAATAACTTTCAGATCACTGGTACTATCGCGTCAGTCCGACGAAACAGACTCACAACAGACGATATCGACGAGGAAATCGCAGTGAATGGTCATCTGTCGCGTGAAAGTCGCGCCAAAAGTGTGTGTTTTCCTTCCCTACGGTTACAACACTTATCGTTTCCAGGTCAAGAACCATCCTTCCTGGCCGAAACGTCCTTTGTGCGAGCACCACTCAATTCACGCGTCAGCTCCGTATCCGCCCTTCCTCCAAGTGCTAAAGGGAAAGGGAAACAAGAGTCGTTAGACCATGTTTCTCTGGAGATTCAGGAGGCGCTGATTCTGGAGGATATGCTCTACATTCTCATGGTGCGCCAAAACTCTGAGCGTAAGTTAGCAAACCCATAACTAACTCCTCACATAGGGTATAGAAGGGTCGTATATCACATACCATCCAGACTACTCACCAGAAGACGATGACCCTTTGCAAGGGATTCGTTTCGTCGTTTCACCCGCTCTCGGTAGGTTTTTCCTCTGTATGCATTGGTTTTAGTGTTAATCGCTGACAGATTCCTCTCTACGCGATCTCGTTGAGCGTATCCTCCCTCTGGGAACCTACTACACCGCCATCAGCTCCTTCGTTGAACTACGAAGTCACCTTGATTTCGGGCTGGTTAACCATGCACTCTGTGCCTCCATCCGCGACATGCTCAAAGACTACCAAACTCTGCTGTCACAGCTAGAGCATGCATTCTCGACCTCCCCTCAATTCTCACTCCAGAAACTGTGGTTTTATCTGCATCCGACAATCCACACACTGTCCCTCATATACCAGCTTGTTCTCGAACTCGGCAGCGCTGATGACCCGAGTGCAGACCTTGATTCTTCGTCGTCAAGCTCGTCCGACCCAGATGAAGACGCCCGGAACGAGGCTCTTGGGCTGGGCGGGGCAAAGCTGAAAGCGATGTTATCCGAGATGGACAAAAACGGACTCGATGTGGCAGGTGGAAGCGGCATAGCGGTGAAAGGTGGCGAAGTTCTTGCTATACTCTACGAGCGGATGCAAAATATGTCGGGTGATCCTACCGCCAAAACGGTATACGGAACCTTGCTTCGTGATGCTGGCGCTCCATATGTTGCAATGCTCCGTATGTGGATTATGAGCGGCAGGCTGGTGGACCCATACGAGGAGTTGCTAGTGAAGGAGAGCAAGTTTATCAACAGAGGGATACTAGAAATCGATTACACTGACGAATATTGGGAGCGACGGTATACAGTGAGTCTTCGTTCATTCTATTCTCCTTTCCTAACCTACCTATAGCTCCGAGATGGCTCAACACTCTCTGGACCATCGAAACGACGGGCTGGTGTGCCCCTACCAAGAACAGTGGGTGGGCGTCTCCCAGGCGGGGCCTGTGTTCCTCCCCTTCTCGAAGGCTGGAAGCACAAGATTCTCCTGGCTGGGAAATACCTCAATGTGATCCGAGAATGTGGGATCGAAATCCGACGGGATTCGACGCACTCTGTCGACGAAAATCTTACAATGGATGACGAGAAGTTCTATGCTTTTATCGAGGACGCATACACCCACGCAAACCGCACCCTTCTCGAACTACTCCTCAGAGACCAACAACTCATGCCGCGTCTGGCGTCTCTCAAACGTTACTTCTTCCTCTCCCAGTCGTCGTTCGTCACCCACATGCTGGATCTTGCCCAGACTGAGCTGCGTAAACTCGCCAAGTCTGCATCGATTGTGAAACTGCAGAGCCTCCTCGACCTCGCACTCAACGCTGACCCACAAGGGGAAGACACCGTGTTCAAGGAGGACGTCAAAGTCACAATAGCCACCAGCGGACTATACGAATGGCTCTTGGACGTGGTCAACGTCAGCGGCGTGATCGGCAAGGAGCATGAGCCAGAGACGCACTATGAAGAGCCCAAAAAGGACAAGGACGACAAGAAGCCGATGAATGCAATCGATGCCTTTGCGCTCGACTACACCGTCAAGTTCCCACTTTCGCTCGTCATTTCCCGCAAAACGATCCTCCGCTACCAGCTGTTGTTCCGCTTCCTCTTCCACCTCAAACACGTCGAGCAATCGCTTTCGTCGATGTGGATGGAACAAAAGACGGGGCCATGGCGCGCGGTGTTGCCGCATCATCAGGAACTCGAGCGTTGGCGCTTACGAGTGTTCCTTCTCAGGGCGAGAATGCTGTCGTTTGTCCAACAGATCCTCGCCTTTGCTACTTTCGAGGTGCTCGAGCCCAACTGGCGGGCTCTCGAGGGCAAACTCGCCAAGGTGACCACGGTCGACCAACTGCTCCGCGATCACGTGGACTTTCTCGACACGTGTTTGAAGGAGTGCATGCTCACAAGCTCGAAGCTTCTAGGCGTATGTGTTCGCGACGCGTGTGTTTTTTTTGACCTGAATGTCCTTAGGCCTACTCACGGCTGATTGTCACGTGCTCGACGTTTGCGGCATACTCTGGGTCGTTCTCCAAGTCGGCAAACCACGCGGTCGATGCCTCACAAACGCCCGATGGAGACCAGTTGATGGCGAAGCGCTGGGTGATCTTGGGCAAGTTTGAAACTCACTTTAATACCTGGTTAGTAGTCTTTTTTTTATCTCATTTCTTTTTTTGACGTTGTCCCAGGTTTGAATCATATTTGAACCGCGTGCAGTTCTACGCCTCGAGCGAGAACGTCTCGCTGCTTCCGCTGGTTGTACGGCTGAATAGCGTGAAGGTCGGGATATAGTGTGGAGGGCCGATCTGTATTCTTATGATGCTTGGTGTAATGCTGTTCTGTACTTGCTATCGTTACGAGTTGAATTACCAGCCGTTTACAACGCGTTAGATGTGCAGGAGAAGACCGTCCCATACGCTGAAGCCCGGTAGCTGTCGATAATTGATTGGATTGAAGTCTAAAGGCGGGTAAGAAACGAAGTGGTGCAGTAAAAAAAATGAGACACGTAAGTGCCACCAACGAGCATGAAGACGCCAAAGACGATGAGGAAATAGTTCATCATGGTCTCAAAGCCACGTAAGCCCTTCCAGCGCTCTTCTTTTGGGTAGATAATCAGGTATGCCATCCCCCAGTAGATGAACCTAACAACGCGAATCAGCGGTAAAGCTATGTGTGATACTTTGATCAACCCACCCAAACCAACAGTCAAAGAGCGAGCTCATGAGGCTGAGCATGTCACTAAAGAACGGAATAACTTCCGCGATAATGAACGCTGCGATCCACGTGAGCCCGATGATGCCAGCCCAAACAGCCCAGCCAACGAGGGTGTTGGAGTGTCTATGCTTCGAGTCGCGGAAGATGCGGAAGAAAATAAACCGTGTGGTGACCGACTGTGAATACTTTGAGCAACGGGTCGCAGATGTAGCTCTATGGTGTACGCACTGAGTAAAGGGAACCGAGGTAGACGATGGTAGGGATGGCAAATGAGAATGCGATCTTTTTGTAGGTAGGCTGTAAAGAGCCGAAGGCTGGGGCAGTGATGTACTGGTTTCCAACGTCTGTAGCGCTTCAGCAGGTAGGTGGACTGAAGAGAACGGAGCATACAATGGTACATGATGGCGCCACTGACAAGAAAATCACCAAATGGCGGCGGCGAGAAAGTTCTTAGCTTACCAAAGGGAAAACACGACAACTTCACAAATTGTAACTGCCCACAAAGCCTTGGGGAAGTCCCTCGGTTCCTTCATCTCAGCAATGAAACTCGGGATGGTGATTTGGCCGATGAGCGTGTACGATATATTGAGGAATGCAGACATTCCTAAGGTGGAAATTTTCGTTAGATAGGGACATCCATCGAGAAACGACTTGCCAGCAATGAAGGTCGTTCCTGGGAGCGGAAACTTGGTCACAATCGGAGTTTCCCCAGGTATATAGCCAAACGGCTCGCTTTGCACCCCAGAGAAGATGATGGCAAGGAGGACCGCGATGCCCATTGTCACTGCGCTGAATGTTCCGAGCCCACTTAGCTGATTAAGCGTACGAGGAAGAGTGAAGATGAAGCAAAGGATGGCCGAAATCGCACTGCAGAAACGTGAACTGAATACCGAGTGGGTGGAACAGAGCTTGTACCTAAAGCCAATGGTGCATAGGGCCGAGTTGGATAGTGTGTTGAGTAGTTTGGCTCCCACAAGACAATGGAGAGCTTGTATGAAAGTGTTGTTGAGGATGAACATGACCGCAGTGAAGTTGTACGCCCATTGCGAGCCTCCAAAAATTATACGTCCAATATCGCAAACGTCGCGGACTTCAGGGTGTTTCAAGCAGAACTTCCAGACAATGAGCGCTCAAAATACTGAGCATGGTTGATATGGGTTACGAAAATGACCTACAAGTATATTGCACACTGGCAGCAACACCGATTGTAACCAAAACTCCAGGAACCAGACCGAGTACGGAGTATGACCTGTAAAGCTTCAACCTTACGCGTTGTAGTTCTCCCCTGTTGCTTACCATGGGAAGGAAAGGATAGCCAAGCAGATGTATTCGCTGAACAGCAAGCCAGCCGTCTAGTAATTTTATTAGTTTCCTTAGTATGCAAATGGGTTTGGAGTTAACCTTTTGCCAGGAGCAGGTGCGATACTGGATGGCGTGTCCGCTCTCTTTTGCAATCTGTTCACCGACACTGTAGGCGCTGGTGCTACCGACCGCGGATTCCTCGTCTGAGTAAGTTTTGCGCTCCGAAACGGCTTCTAGTTCTCCCATGACGGCGGCGATTCGGCGTGGGCCTCCGTTCACTGGTCGTTATTATTGGATAATACCACGGAAAGCTGATTCGGAGTTGGTTCATTTGTTCACACCGCTGCAAGACCCCAACATACCAGTTTCCCAGCAGCCGCGTCACGGTTGGGAGCAGAAGAACTGGCGACTTACACCACTTTGATGCAGAATGGTGCAATACGAATGAATTCTCATGATAAGGTGGTGGGAGCAGAAGGAAAGAGATCATGATTACATAATTATCAAACGGGCGGTTGTTCCAATCTTGTTCGGCACACTAAGCAACGACCCACGGGTGAGAGGCGACCTCAGACAGACTGATCCTTGCGTCTGGATTGACGACGAGCATACTTGAAATCAGGTTTCGACAAGCTTGGGACGGTCAAGTTCAAATTTACTTGTTTTTTTTTGGTGTTCCATACCTTTGGAGACAAAAGATGGAAAACTCGGCAAATGGCCACTCAAAATCTGTCTGTGAATTTCCTCTATTACCTCGTCATCCCAGGGCACGTTACCGCACACGGCAATATAAAGCATGACACCCAGTCCCCAGACGTCGATTTCGGGTCCAATATACGGCTTTGCTTGAAGCAGTTCTGGCGCAGAGAAATATCCCGTGCCACAGGCAAGCGTCAGCCGTTCTGAAGGATTGAAGGCTGTGGCCAACGCAAAGTTGGTCAGTTGAAACGATGTCGGGGTCACGACAACATTCTGGTAATGTACGTCGCGATGAACAATGCCATTGCGGTGACAGAACTGAAGTGCGTAGATGAGGTCTCGAGCAAGATGCCGTGCGTCTTTCTCCTTCAATCGACCACCTGAAATGATTAGATCGAGGAGAGTGTCTCGATCACCAAGTGAAGTGGGTTGCAGTCGAATATTTGGGTGAGCGCTCAGTACATTCTATGCTGGGTTAGACGCGCTGCCTTAGAACATAAATTGACGGACCGTTTGCGTGGTAGTCAGAAACATGAGTTAGTAGGCTGTGTCCCCAGAACGGTCACATGACTTTAGAGGAATCTGATTGCATTCATTCACGGGTCTATCAACATCATGTCACGGTACACTGAGGAAAGAATTGTGCCGCATTTCCCGTCAGGACTACATTCTGGCACAAATATTTCGGCGTGCCCGTAGGAGAGCTGAGGTTGAAGTCTTCAACATTGATATTGGAGCACCGTCCATCGGGAGAGCAGGCCAGATTGGCGACCGTCGCCCCACTAGAAGTACCAGAAATGCTGCAGGAGTTCAATTTTCTGAATTAAAAAAGATGACCCCGTACTTTTTGAATACGATATCTTGGATGAAGGTGTTTGATGGAAACTGTGAGCACTGTCTACAGTTAGATGGGGAGCATGGTGAAATGTAATACTAAGACCTACAGCAGTTGCATTTGTCATGTCTGATTTCGAGATAAAAAAACGTAGTCTCGTCGGGAGGACTAGTACTTACAGCACTCTGCAAGTGGTTGGATTTCAGTTGAGCAATTCCCAAAACGATGAGCGACAGGACGCACGATCAATCACGACAGGGTTGTCAACTTTTATTTCAGAGAAGTTTTCGAATGTTATGTTCTTGACGATCCCACTTCCGACTCCGGCCCCGGCCCAGCACTGAACAGAATTCGACAAGCTAGAGATTTCAAAGTGATGCGCTCACCTTAATACGGGCGCCATTCTGTGCATTACTCATCTTGACATTGCTCCAGTTCCAAGTCAGCGGCGAAAGCCTTGTCAAGACGGGAAGTACTTACATAGCGGTCACGTTCTCTACAATGTCGAACATCCCTGCGAATTGACCCAAAGAGCCAACCGAAATACCGCTGTTTCCAGGTTATGACAATTCGAGATAGATTGGACTTGGTTACGTACTGAGAGCCATTGCAATTGAGATTAGACACCAGAATGTTGGTTGAGTTTGGCTTAAAGGAAACGCAATCGTCTCCATTGTTGATTATCGAATCTTTAATGACAACTTGGTCACTTCGGTAGATATCCCAGCCATCCGTGTTGGCAATGCGATGGCTCGAATTCGAGGAGGCTTGAATATTGATCTTCGTATAGGTCACATTCTTGCCCTCGTTGACCTGGGCGGTATTGACATTATTATTGAGAGCAATTTGCCTAATGACACTCACCAGGTTGAACCACTCGGGGCTGTTGAGCATAGTGATGTCTTTGACGAGCACATTTCTTGCTTGAAAGACAGTCAAGATGATTGGCCGAAGTAGCGAGGAGTTGGATGCAAAAGCATCATACCAGGCCTTCGATACTAGTTTCAGTCTGAATTTCAAAGAGGCTGTAAAAATCCGACCTGTCCTGCACCGTCTAGCGTCCCACCTCCATCTAGAACGATATTCTTCCCTCCCAGCAGCCAAGCGGTTATTTGGGTTTGGAAAGCGAAGGGAAAGCCATTCTAATCATATATAAGCAGTGCTTAGAGAGAAAGAAGGAAACTTACCCCGCTCCAATATGGAATGTCTGGGTTGATGCGAATTGTGCCTTGGAGTTCCTTGAACAGACCTCAGCAGTCGAGGATATGTAGATGAGAGCCACTCACTATGTGCTTGTTGACTCCGCCAGTCATATTCAACCGCGTCGAAATGTTGAGTGTGGTGTGGTGAGGAATAGATATTTTGCTGCATTTTTGCCATGCTCTGAGAAGCTGTGGTGCATCGTCGACTCCTGGCCCTTTTGCAACAAGAGTGCAGTCATCGTGTCCATGTCCTCCATCGTGTCCTGGGTGTCTCAAGTTCGCAGTCGCAACGCCAGCGAGAAACAGTAGAAAGACGGCAGGCCGCATATTTGGTGTCAAGAAGGCGTATGGGTGTTCGCTGTCATGAAACACGCATTTTATCTTCTCTTGGCGGACCGCGACGGCGGGGACCAACCGACGAGGTCATGAGTGTTGCAAGTCCGGACCGGGAGGGCGTGGGAGGACTGTGACGGTCACGTTCACTCAGTCACCTCCATTCCTCTCCATCCCTCTCCATCCCCTCCATCGCATAGGTTCATTTCGTCTGAATCGCGCTGCACTAACCTCATGCATCTCTGCGCCTAGTAACTGGTCAGCGACATAACTACCCGTCTTCACCGAGACATCAAAAATCTACTCGTCATTGGCAATTTGGCCTGCCTTCAGCAATCCACTGGAGGCTCTCCCAAGCTCTTCGGTTGCTGTCTATGGGGACAGAAATCACACCCGCTTCTTGTATTTAGCAATAGTCTCTCTAACTCTCGCAAAGAATGTGACAAGGCTTTCCATCAAGTTTAAACAAGTACAAATTTCTTCGACTCTATCAATACCCATTCGTGAGAGAGAGAGGCAGACACTTGTGCATTCGGAAGACTCGTGGAGGAAATTCTTCTGTGCCTCGTTCATATGGGCGAATTTTCAACTCAAGACTTCTTACTTACTTGAATTCGCGCAACCTCTTCAAGCAGTCACAGTAACGGTGACGGTGTGGGTGCCGTGGTCGTCGTTTCCGTGACGGCCGTTGTCGTCGCCGCCGTGCTTGCGCTATTTTGTCTTAAATCAGAATCAAGCTCCTCAAGTTGTGGCTGAACTGCACCTTGACGGGTGCCGGGGTCAACAATGGGCTCCGGGCAGTAACAGTGACTGTGCGAGTAGCATCATCACCTCCATGGTGCCCATTATCGTTTGGCCCATCGTCGCCGCCATGTCGGCGCTAGAGTGCACTATTCAGCACGATGTTTTGCTCTATTTCGCCAAAGGACTTACAGCGGTCACGATTGGGTTCGCCACTGTAACGGTTACAGTGCGAGTGGCATCATCACCTCCGTGGTGGCCATTGTCGTTTGGCCCATCGTCGCCGCCATGTCGGCGCTAAAGTGTAATACTCAGCACGATGTGTTTCTCTATTTTGCTAAAGGACTTACAGCGGTCACGATTGGGTTCGCCGCCGTAACGGTTACGGTGCGAGTGACATCGTCATTTCCGTGGTGGCCGTTGTCGTTTGGCCCATCATCTCCACCATGTCGACGTTTGCTGTGGTGTCCGTTATCGTTTGGCCCATCGTCACCACCATGGCGACGCTTGCTGTGATGTCCATTGTCGTTTGGACCGTCATCTCCTCCGTGGCGGCGCTAAACGTAACATTCAACTTGAATCTTCTGCTTCTCATGGAACAAAGCTTACAGCAGTAACAATCGAGCCCGCCGCTGTAACTGTCACGGTGCGGGTCACGTCGTCGTTTCCGTGGTGGCCGTTGTCATTGGGGCCATCGTCGCCGCCGTGGCGGCGCTTTGCGTGATGACCATTATCATTGGGACCGTCATCGCCACCGTGTTTGCGCTGCATGAGCTATTTTTCAGCGCAAGACTCGTTTAGCAAAGACCCAATCGTCTTACAGCGACGTTGGTGAACTTGGCGCTGCGCGCTGCGACTGTCTGGGTCACCGTAACAGTGCGAGTGGCGTCATCATTCCCATGGTGGCCATTATCGTTCGGGCCATCATCTCCACCATGTCGAGCGAAGACGACGGTGACAAAGAAAAGGAGCAAGGGAGGGAAGAAGCGCATGTTCGAGTCTAGTGTTTGAGCTGAGCGTTTGCCAGTGAAGTTTGAGGACCATCCTCTCCCGTTTTATACGCTTGCTCGTTTCTTGGGAGATTTCAGAGCTCCAATGCATTACTCCCATGGCCTGGGATGGCGAAATCTTGTGTTAGATGGACCGGTAAGTGCCCGGTAAAAGAGACTATGCCTATGTGAACTGATCGAAGAAAGCTTACTGAGAATCCTGTCTTGCAAGCTTCTCCGTCTTTCTTCGATCCATCGTACTTACAACTTCGCCACGCTTATGGAATGTTGTTCAAGCTCAAGATGTCGCCGCGGCCAATTTTGCTTCAAGTCTGCACCAATTGCCGCCGATCGACATCGTCTTGTTCCAAGCCATTCGAGGCAAAATTAGAGCGTGGTATGTTATCCTCCAGAACAAATGCCGCAGGTACTAACACTGACAGTCCTTGAAAATCACAGTTCTTCGGATTTTACTCTCGCCACAGACATCAGTGGCTGTTCAAGTTGTTCCACCCACTAACTTCGCTGCCCTGATCATAAGGGAACTGTCGATACTGGGACAGAAAACGCCTCAGAAGATTACCAAACGTCGACGTGAACACCCGCTTGGAAACGCTACTCTAACCATTTTGGACTTAGTCCTCGGCATGTGAAGTAAACAATTTTTTCATGCACCGCCGCAGTCTGTGAACGTACACAGGCTCTGGGCTTGGCGCGCAAGCTGTTTTCCGTTCTTCTCACTTGCATTCGCACCCTGGACATCCCAGCATCCCCTTTTTCATTCTTTTGCCCCACACTTGCACGAGGAGCCTGAGATTAGCGAATGTCAACGTCGAGTCAGCATAATGGATGGTCTCTTTTGATATCGAAACCTCTCTCCAAAGCACATCAAAATTATTTGTTTTTCGCCATTCGTTTGCTAGGAGTTGATCCAGATGACCTACAACAGGTTCCCTACTCTATTTTTGTTTTGTCTCATCCTTTTTGTTCGTGGGGTTTTGGAGATGCTTCTTTAGCGTTTATCATCCCATTCGTGTGTTTCCTCCGGCACTTCCTCGCATCGCACTTACCGTCGTCGTGGATATGATCGCTCAGCATTCTCATCTGCCTTCAAGACTTCGGCTACTCTGCATCCTTTTCCCATCCTTGCCTCTTAACGCTGAGAAAAAAAATGACCCTGTTTGCAAAACTGACGCCGCTGTCGCACGTCGAAGATTAAACCTTGTTTCGACTGGCAGAAAATTAAACTTGCAGAATTCAATTATGTGATGCTCCCCTTGCTTCCCCTTGTGATGAAGGGGCCATGCCAGGTCGGATGCTTCCTCTCATCGTCCCTTGAACGTCCTCAGAAGAAGCTTGAAGCCTGTACTGCCAAACTCTTGAAATTGGTCAAACATATTGCTAGTACACATAAGTAGGTCTTGTTTGAGTCTCTACACATTCACATGACTATACACCAGTTTCTGTTCTGTTCTCGTCTCGCAGCTTCCTCAGCCATGGCCTGCTGTCGTCGTCGTCGCTGTTCCTCAATCTGTTGATGCCACCGTTCTTGTATTGCAATCCGTTCTTGCATTGCAATCCGTCTTTGACGCTCTTCTTGTTCAAGTTGTGCAGCTTCCCGCTCAGCTTGGTCTTCCCGCAGTCTCGCATGTTGTCGGGCTGCGACTGCGGGGTCGACTGGCCCGTAGCCGTATGGATATTGAACTCTTGGAGCTGCGCGGGCAAACGGGCCCGGGTTGTTCTGGGGCAACCGGTTGGCAGCTCTGGCCGCCTCCCGGGCCCGTTGCTCCACCATTTCCCTTTGGTTTTCGACAGGGCGAGGTATTGCAGCAAGCTGGGGTTGGGGTCGCAGAGCTGCCGGAACATCAAAAGCGCCGCCATGTGCACTGTTGAGATGGTTGTAGATTTCTCCTTCAGGGAATTGGCGAACACAGAGCCAGCACAGGTGGGCACCACATTTGCAAGTCATGTGATTGCAGCCCTCGGTCTTCTCGATCCAAACGGAGCACACAGGACACCGCTTGACGCCGTTCTCAGCCGCCCACTCCTGATTCCGTCGCTCTTGCTCGCCTGGGTCGCCTTGCAATTTCCATTCGTCACAGCTCATCCCCTCATGTCCTTCTTCATCGCATGCCCGACAGACCTTCAAGAAGCAGGAGGGGCAGGTGACTGTCGCTGGGGTGGTTTGTCGACGATAGACCTGGGTACAGTCCGGTGTCTTGCAATATTTGAACTCGTTCGGGTGTTGCTCGATGTAGCGAATATACGCCGTTTCGAAAAGTTGCTGGAGTAGAGCAGGTGAAAGGAATCGTTCGATGGTGGGAAGCGGAATCGGGGTGTTGCAGGTCGCATCGTTGGCAAGGCAAGTAAGAGGGAAAGTGTCCGCAGCAGAGGAAATGTAGTGGCTCAGACAGTTCATGCAGTAGGTGTGATCGCAACCTAGGGAAACTGGATGGGATATTTCGTCGTAACAGATGGGGCAGAGGACACCGTCGACATTGCGTGTAGTGGTCTCCTCTAATGATTCGGCAATCAGTCGGTCAACGATTTGGCGCGCGTTATCTCCACCTCGTACAACGATTTTGGCACCGCCAACAATGACCAGTGTTGCATTATCTTCTCCCAAAGCCTCCTTCAACGCTGCAAGGCCGCGGTCAACAAAGAACCGGATCGACTTCTGCTTGAGCAAGATGGAGCACTCTGATGCGTTGAGGCGGTCAATTTCAGCCTTGACCATTTCTCGTGCCCTTTCTCTAGCCGCAGTTTCACCAAACACTTTCACCACACATGCTTTCCAATCCGCCCGAGCATAAGCGCCTGTGGCCCGAAATACTGAATTGAGGAATTGTGTGCCAGAACCCCACCTCAATGAACGGTGCCATAGTTCCCTTGGTAGCGCCTCACCACCTGCAAGACTCTCGACGCGGACCTTCAGGGAACCAACGGCCTGTTTGTCCCCTCCAACGACTCGAATTCGGACGCGGACACCATTCTGAATAACGACAGAAGCAGCTTGCTTGCTGGAGACATCAGAACCAGCGAGCGCGTCCCATTGATGCCGTTGAGCGTTGTATTGCTGAGTCGTAATGGAGAGAATATATTGGTGTGGGGTCGGCAGACGAGTTCGCAGAATACGGTTACCCAAGTATGTGAACTTTTTGCCTGACAATTCTTCGTCAACTCGTTTAGCAGCCTCCCAGGAGCTGAAGCGGAATTTGACAATGATGTTGCCGTCGACATCGCCTTCTAGTTGTGTTGCATCCATCGAGATCAGGTCACGAGCAGCAACTGTGCGAATATGTTGTTGAAGCAGACCAAAGCCATGGACTGGGTCGTAAGAAATGGGCTTAAGATAACGCAGTTGATCAGACCCCACAAATTGGACAAGGGTCTCATGGGAGAGGACGAGAGGAAGACCAGTGATCTTGATGGAACATTGCACATCTCCAAACATGGATCCGCGGTAGCCTGGGGTCAACTGGTTCATTTCAACTTTGACACGCCTGCCCCCGCAAACCTGACGATTGAGGGAGTGGACTTTGGCTCGAGCGATCTCTTGTGACGGAAACGTGGCGATGACGGCATTAGAAGGGGCCCAGCACGCAACGGTCAACGTGTCGGAGTCCTTTGTTGCGGAAATACCCATTCCATTTGCGGTTTCGGAGACGTCAAATTGAAGATGCTCCTGCCTGAAGTCGATGCCTTCCAGCCCAATGGCAACAGCGCCTCCCTCTTCAGCAGTTGTGACGAGTGTTGCCTCCAGATGACCATCCACCGGTTTCTGACCAACGATAAACAACCGTTTGCGATCAATGCCTTGTTGAGTGAAAAGAGCAAGGATTTCATCCGACCTCGCATCGAGCGGAAGCTGCCTGATGCGGATGCGGCAGCTCTCTGAGCCACAAATAATGTCGTGAATGGCGATTCCGGCAGCATAGGTAACGAGGGAAGAACCAAGAACGATTCTCTGGATGGTGTGGGCAGCTTCTTGTCGGGCAGTTTCCCGTCGCTGTATTTGTTGTCGCACTTCACGTGCTCTTTGGGCGGCCTCCCGTTCAGCTTCAAGCCTTTGTCTAGCTTGTTCGGCTCGACGGTCCGCTTCTTGACGCGCTTGTTCTTGACGGAGTCGTTCTTCCCTGATCTAGCAAGACTGAGCAAAGAGCGGGCAGTGATGAGCGAACATCGCACTTGTGGGTCATGGGCGAAGAAACATTTATCACCTTTGGGACAGTCGCCATCCCTCCACGCGAAACAAGGTCGTTCTCCACGCTTCAAACGAGGCTGAGTGTTTGTTTCTTCATTATGGGAGTATTTGCAGCGGTCACCAAATCTACAGTGACCACGAAGAAAAAGCTTGCATGGGGCCATGGTGGTTAGGACAAGGGCCTCGGCGCTTGAACGGTGGCATTGCGGCTTCGCAAGCTTCACGCTTGATCGAGGTTAAGGTTAAAAAGCTGTCACGCGTGACATCTCGATAGACTCTTTTCAAGTTGCAGATGAACGTTGGGGAACCCTTCCATCTCGCGTCATACCCTATTTCGCGCCATAAAAAGTCGCCCAAAAGACAACACTTGTTTGCAACACACGAAAAGGTCGCGTCTGAGGGATATGTGACTACTACAGTCCAAGGAGACGGTGTCCATGTTCTCGATGTGGGTTTTGTCTGATAATCTGGGTTCTTTGTTTCCAATCGGTCGCAATATAGCTTTCGACAGTACACCCAGTCATATCCCATACACTCGGACCCTCAACAAGCTTCAGTTGCCCATCTATTTCGGTGGTAGAGTCGCAACAAAATGTTTGCAGGACGTATGCGGTCATCGCTTCATCGGCAGATGTTGAGTTAGACGCCTGTGGACGCACAATATGGGTCTGGAAAGAAGATACCTCTTCAACAGAGCCTTCCTCGCAAACGAAGAAAGTTGCAGTGGTTCGTCGTGTTGCAAACCTTTTTCTACATGCTAATGCATGCATTGAAAGATGCCCCACTCAATTTTCAACATATTCTCGCCTTCTCCGAAGGCAATACTATTCTCGTCTCCCACTGGCGACTGGACTTTGGCAGACCAGGATCTCAATATTCGAGATGCGCGCCTACCACTTGCTACGACTTCGACTGTGCTCCACTCCTTCGTCTTTCCGAGCGCGTTCCTGTCAGCATACTCTGGATGCACAACCATCGTCTCACTGGAAGCAACAAAAGAAGGGTTGACCAATATTCGCGTTCTCGTCGTGAAAGGGGAAACTGAAGTAGCAGAATGCGGGGTCTGCGCTCTCCCGATACTTTCGGACGTATGTGCCTTTACTACAACCTATGCTTACCATTGAATGTCGACAGCAAATTGTCGCTACATCTTGCAGCGCTTCTGGTTTTCTCACCATCATCAGTAAGTAAAACCCTTTCCCCATTTCTCTTCGGCAATGCTCACTCCCGGTAGCAAAGGATGGTTCCTGGAACTCCTTCCAGCTCGAACAGACCAGCGATGCTATCGGCGTCTACGAAGCCGCTCAACCCATCCGCCTGAAATCATTGTCATTCATCGGGAACGAAGATGACCAAGAGATTTGCTTAGTCGCGCTGAACACATCTCTTGTATTCCTCGCGGCCATTGCCTCGTCTTCCCGAACCATCGTTCTCCTTATTTGGGACCTCCAATACTCTGTCTTACTCGCCTCTCAAAGCTTCGCCATTCCCTCAACTCTTTCCGGTCTGACTAGTATATCTATCGCAATCCAGCTGACCAAATCTACCTCTCCGCAAGCCCTCTTAATAGTGTCGCCCCCGTTATCAGACTCAGCACCGCCTAAATCGACGCGCTCAAGCATCTTCGCTGTTCCACTCACATTTCCAAAGTCGTCGACACTGAGCAACGCGATGGGACGCGCAAGTATGGATAATCAATGGCTCGAAGTCCCTAAATCAGAAGAGACGCCGCAGACGAAGATTGTTCAACAAATCCAACAGGCCTTCGCAAAGAAAGACTCGGTGAAAGCCGAAACCGCATTCTTTGCGTGGGCCAATGAAAAGGAGGTCAGAATAATTACTTGGCTTTTCAGCACTTTCCTCATCACAACGATTACAGTCTGACAGCGCTTTTGGTCATTCCCTCCTCAGCGATATCCTCACTGCAGTGCTTCACACCTCCGGCGCATATTCTCACAGGATCGTTAAATTCCTTCTGGAGAAGCGTGTTGTTAGCGCCAGCATGGTGGATGGCGGCTTGTTGACGGCGTTGAAGCATCACAATGATTGGGTATGTATCCAACAGGTTATCATTTGAACCACGACTCACCCTTAACAGAACGCGATCCAAGTATGCACCCAGACTGTGCTCGACATTTCCGAGTCAGACTTAGTGTTTGTTCTACGAGAAGTGATTAGGACCAGCTCAGACCCCAACGCCATGGAAGTCGACTTGCTTGGCACTGCCCCTTCACTCCCCGTATTCCTCGACTCATGTGTCCGCTATCGCACTTCGCCAACAGCCCTGCGGATAGCTCTCCACGAGTACCTCACCCAAGCCGAAGAGGTCCTACCAGTTTTGGAAATACTGGACAAGTGGGTCGTCCATTGGAAAACGGCTCAAGTCGTGGTGATGCCGTCAAAAAAGAGCATCCACAAAGACACGTTTGGTGCTTCTGTTCTCGTTGACGAGTGGCGACATGAACGCGAAGATCCGGGCCACCCACCACTTCTCAAAGTCCTCAGTTTCTTACAAACACTGTTGGATGCGTCCTTCCTTCTGCTCCTCCAACACCAGCCGGCCCATGCTGTCCTGCGACGCGTCAGCGAGCATATCGAGCCTGAACTGCGGCTGACAGAGCAGGTGGATGCACTCAGAGGCCCATTGGAGGTATTCGCTCGGGCGCAAGCAAAGGCGGTACGGGAGGCCAAAGAAAAACAGAATGGGAAAGAAGCTGATAACTGGAGAGAAAGAAGACGACTGGTGCACGAAAGAACTGGGATGGCAGTCGGTGCATTGTATCAGCTGGAAGAGCTGGTTTTATAGCCAAGTATTTAAAATATTTGACAGCGGAACGAGCCTTGTTCGCCTAGCCGTCCATGAAAGGGTGACGAACAGGTCATAATGCTTCATTATCGATCTGCCCCGAGTGAGGTGAGCTCCACGAATGTGGTTCTTGATTCGGGAACTCGTAATTCGATTCGCGGGGGGTTAGATCAACGAACAAGCAAGGAGGAGAATGAATTATGGATCCAGACACAACTCGCCTACAGTTACCCTGTCCAGTTTTTGGGCTGCAGCAATGGTCAGAGGCTTTAGAAATGATCATGTGATGACGCACCTTGACTTCATCGCCGAGCTTCCTTATGCCAATCTCAGTTCCAGGCTTCTCGTGCATTCCCTTTTCGCCCAAGTCCCAATTATACCCAACACCAACCGCAAGTCGTGTCCCATCGCAATTGAACGCTAGAGTCCCTACTGGATTGCCGAACTTGGGGTACTGTCGAAGCCGTTTTTTGACCTTGTGGTCCCATATCGACACAGTGGCGTCTGAGCCGGCAGAGGCAAATGTGTTATATCTGTCGTTACTCAGTCGCAATTCTGGAGTGAGAAAAAAAGGTGATACACAGGATGGAAAGCGAGCGCGTTGACTGGATAGACATGGTCTACGTCGTCGACGGTATGCCGATGACACTTGAAAGCGTATTTTTTGGCTTGCGTTGCTGGAGATGGGTCGAAATATTCGACAGCAATGCGGCCTTCAACTGAGGCAGTTGCGTAGCCCTGGCCATCGGCCATACATGCCAAACTGCGAGTCATATATTTCAGACTGCTTTCTCTCTGTTGCGCGGGGGTGGACATGTTCCGGATATCGTAGATGCTGAACAATCGGCTTGCCATAGCCACGACGATGTTGTGGTTCGTCATGTCGATCGCGTAAATGCGTTCTGGGGTGGTGGCGTTTGCCTGCTGAGGGGTTGCCGACCGTGGATCCCATAGACGGAGAGAGCAGTCCCATGAGCCCGAGACAAGTGCATCTGTAAGCGTGAGCTTGGGACGATAGGAAGCTTTATAGCAACACACGAGACTCGTCAGAAAACACCATTCCAGACACAGCGTCAGTATGAGAGCCGACTGTTGTGATTTTCTCAGTCCCCATCTCCAAACTATCGATATTGAGTGGGAAATGACGCGTCAAAAGGAGGCATAACGTACTGTCGAATGGTTGCATCGAGCCCCCCGCTGAAACCGTGGCTGGCGTCCGAGAAACAACATGTCAAGACAGCAGCTCGATGCTCAAACTTGACTAATTGCTCAGACGGCCGTTCGTTTGGTTCTCCCGCATGATAAAACCGGACAGTCTGTTGCAAGTTGTTAACTTGTAAAAAAGTACACCAAAAGGCACTCACAGAGTCCCAAGACGATGCTAGAAGCTTGTTTGGGTCGGTTGGGGAGTATTGTATACGCGATATCGTGTCGAACGGTGGCGAGGGGAGGGTGGAATATGTTGGGTCTGCCATTTGTTCGTGGTCGGAAGCCAAAAGAGGCACTTTGATGGTATCAATGATCAGCACCATGTCTCTTTCCTCCACCTCCACACTCAAGGCACAACTGAAGTCTGTCCTTGGCACCAATGCCGATACCTACTTCTCGACCCTTAATCAATTTATCATTGGCCAGTCTTCCCGCACTGAATTCGATGATGCGATGCGTGCTATCTTGGATAGTACCCAACTCTGTTTGTCTCTCCACAGAAACATGTGTCTACCGCTAATTCTCTTCCAGTACAACTACACAATGCCCTCATAATCTCTTTATTTGATGCGACAACCCACAAACGACCCCCATCTCCATCAGTCTTGCCTCGTTCCAAACCTCCCGCTCGCAAACGAAGACGCGTACTTCCCTACCAAGGGCCAGATGAAGACAGCAGTGCACTTTCATATCACTCTCCAAGACTAAAGAGATGGGCTCTTTCAGTTGGCAAACGAGAGCGAGAACGTATCAAGGGCTTCCAAGGGGTGCCACTAGATATTCGCCCACTTGCTCACGAGGAAATCGCCTCAGAACGTGGCGTTGTATTACTTGCAGAGCGTGGAGACCCACCCGGAAGTAGACTCCCTGTCCATTTGGCTGCGACATCTGGCCTGCCAAATCTGAACTACATGGCTGAGCGCATGAACCTCATCTGTGCTCAAAATAACATAGGGCAGCCCAGTCGACCTGCCTCATTGTTGATGAACTCTGCTTGTGAAGTGAGCTACCACATTTCCTTCATCGGAAGTCCAACTGAAATTTCCTCAGGTAATGCTCAAACAACTGCTCACGCATGCGCTAACGCTTACTTCTGCGTCCCAAACCATCCCTTCCATCACCCCGTCGACCTCGCGGCATCCCAACTTCCGCACCCAGCCAGTCCTCACCATATCATCCTTCCACACATTGTTCACCATTTCCCCAGCCGACATTCCCAACAAATCTGCAGCCGCCTTGCGTCTGGGGTATATGGGTGACGACGATAGTCACCCAGATTCCGACCGCGACATTGTTCTTTTAAAGGATCGCGAGGTCCGCGACCAGCGTTGGCAGCTGCTGGCTTTACTTAGCGAACGGAGTACCGTGCGAGAGGTTTTGAGTGGGAGGGTGGGTAGTATGTAGTGAGTTTTGTGTCCTTCTATAGATCATTTGTACAACAACACATTCTTCACGGAAGTTGCCTCATAAATCCTCAGAATCCACCACGACAACCTCCTCCGTTCCGACCAGTGGCGCTTTGTTTACTCGCGCCGCTTCCGTCAGCCTTTTGAATTCAGAACTATATTTTTTCTATGTGCATTAGTGAGTGTTGGCACAAGTTTTGGAAAAAGAAACTTGTACCAGATGACCTGAGTCAACGGCGGGCTTCTCCTTGCGTGGTGCATGTCTCTCTGACTCCCACTTCCTTAGCGTTCGCCTAAGTTTCTCCTTCGACTCGCGATGTTCAGTTGATTTATCCAAGTTGGCGTTCCACAGCATGGCCCATCTATCCCCTGCTTTAGTAGTTCAACAAGCGAGCAGGAAACAAGCATACTGCTGGTGGCGAGCTACCAAAACTGAGTGGTCCCCGGTTGTCAACAGCCCGAGTCTCTCTAACCTCTCCCGAAGCTGCTTCTGCGTGAGGGTATCATATGCTAGCTTGGGTACCCTGTCGTCAGATTCCTTTTCCTTTCCCTTCGACTTGGGACCCATAATACTCGACCACTGCGCTTTAGAGTTCTGTGACTTCGGAGACTGGAGGGAAGTTGCGCAGCCGCTGTCGATATGGTAGTTGATGTTGTCCATGGGCACCTCTGCCTTGCATAAGGGGCACGCAACGAGAGAGTCAGATGCTTTATAACGATGAGCGTCCATAGGCAGAAGAGAAGAGAGCTGAGTACGCTCTACCGTTGTCGAATTCGCGCTAGGCGTCCGTGAGGGACCGGCTGAGGATGGCGGGTCTGATTCATCTAGTCTCCGTTTCTTCCGCGCAGGCTGGTCGTCTTGCTTTGCCAGTTTGACAATATATGCGCTTGGACAAGTAAGAATGAGGAGTAAATACACTCGGAATTATAACGCACCGCGCGGGCTTCCACGCCGAGACAATGTCCTCCAGTAGTGAGTTGGGACGAAGGTGACTCTCCTTCGCTGGTGCCCGGCAGGTCGGGCAATGAGACTGGGAGGTGGTGGCCATGGTATTGCGTATACACTGTGTCCGCTTAGTATTACAGCTAGAGAGTAGTATCAAATTGGAACTGACCAGGGAGCAGAAAGAGTGCCCACACTGAAGAGAGACTGGCCCATCGAAGAACTCGCTGCAAATAGAACAACGGACAGCGGCATCCAGCTGTTGGAGGGACTTTGCTTCAGGAGGAAAATCAGTCGGGTCTTCTATGGCTTGTAATTTCGGATTCATCGTCCATACAGACATCGAATTGCCACGCGCAGAGGATTCACGATGAGGGGGAGAGAAGCGTGTTGTCACAGTCACGTGATATGACAAGCGAGTACATTAGTCATGACGCGTTACGAGTACAATTGCAAACATTTTCCAAGCAGTTCTTCAACAACGGCAAGGCATCAACGGCTGCCAGCTGCTTTGCTACAGAGCCTGTCCCTTCAATCGGACCACACACGTATACGTTATGCGCCCAGACGCTGACTCCTTCAGCGGATTTGCGAAAGTCGATGTGCTTATCAATGCGACAACCAGCCTTTGCCGCCCATTCCAGTAGTTCTGTGACGGGATCTCGGGGAACAAAGGGTCCCAGAACTGGGAGTACTTCTTCCATGCAATACTCCACAACTGCACTTGTTTTATCCCAGTCATAATGCGAATCCACGAGAACCGCGCCAATCACACTCTCGAACACGTCGCTGTGCGATGGTCAGACATATATAGCGACACGCAAAATGGCCTCTATACCTGAGAGCCTTAGGAGGGTCGTATTTCCACCCGCATTTTATAATCTCCTCTCCACTACAGTTTGCTAGTCGAGGAACCCAGTCATCGATTTCCTTGCTCAATGCTACGTTATTTGCAAGGAGGAGCTTGTCGAGTTTCAAACGCTTGATAGCAAGCATGGCCTGGGCAGGTGCCGCAACTGCTCTCGTTCGCGGCCACGCCAGCTGATCAGGCGTGGAGTCAGGAAAGGTTCGATACATATAGTCCATCACCACTAGGTAAATGACTGCATCCCCCAAGAATTCCAGCCGTTGATACGAATTGGTTGCTTGGTTGTCGAAAGACGGATGGGTGAGCGCCTCGAGAAGTAAAACACCAGAGTTGAATGAATATCCGAGACGTTCTTGCAAGTCGTAAAACATATCAGGTACAGGCGAGTTCGCTTTCGCATATCGAACCTGCCACGGTACAGCGCCACCTAAATTCATGCCTAACGCCTGGCCAGTAGCCAGCGCCATGTCGATTCCCCCAGTTATGTAGCTCGCTCCCAAAATCGACTCCATGGTCTCTTGTAGACTGCGTCTTGGCAGTTCCCTTGCAACACATCTCTCACCGTGACTGTCGCTGGGGTTCCTTTGGATGTCCGAGAGCCATAATTTCATTCCCATTGTCTCGCAGATGAGGAAAGATTCAATGCCGATCTCTTTTCCGCGGTAGAGTAAGAAACGGTTGGATACGCAATTTTGTCGCCCTTTGGACAGTTCCCCCTCATTGGCAAAAGGAAGCTGGTTGAATACATGAACACTTGTGCAGAGCTGCAGCACGGCATCACCGAGAGTCTCGAGGCGCTGGTTTCTGACGAGATTGAGCGACAGGCACCGATTCACGTCCAATACAACTTACGAATAGTCGACATTTGCCGAAGGGATTGTCAGTGCTTCAACAAGAATGTTGTCGGAGATCGGAGGCAAGGAAAGAGACTTGCGCAGTTGGCCGGCGCGGTAAACGGATGTCAACCGACGATAAAGGGCCGGCAACACAAGTAACACGTCTTGCAAACCATGCGGTATATCGATTATGCGACAACAGCCCAGAGGGTATAGCACAGGCCGGGCTGAAAGATCTGGCGGGGTCAATCGAGACACGGGAATTAATTCGAGCAATGGGCCGTCTAGAGGCACGAAAGGTCCGTAGTTACGTGTATCCTGTCTTCCTGTCCACTTCTGGGTCCAATATTCGCGATAAGTTGGGAATCCCGCCTCAACTGCATCCGCAGGAGGTGTCGACATGGGAGAGAGGTCGCGTCGAATGCTTCGCAACAGGAATATATGACCTGTGAGATTGACATTGCGTACGAGAATTCGACCATAGTGACTCTCACTGATGTGTTGCCAAGTCTTTTCGATATCTGGATTCGGAGGTGCGAGAAACTGATGGATAGCCGCCCAATCAGGCTGGGAATCAAGAACCGGGACGATGTAGAAGTTGAGAGGGTGGGCTATGGGGCTGCTGGATATTCTGGTCCAGATGCATTCTTTGGTGTAGCGATACAATAGTTCTCGCGCATCAGAGGGTGACATGTTGAAGTTGAGACGCTGGCCTTCCAATGAAAATATGCTCTTCAATTTTGCAGGCACAAGTCGCGTTCCAGTAATTAGCCCTGCGACGCATTGCTCCGCGATTTTGATTGTGTGGATCCACAGCTCATCAGAGTGAGTCGTGGTCCACGGGTCTTTTACTAGCACCCCCATCATCTTTGGAATTTGTTCGACTTGGGCCACCACTGCAGCATCATCTACGACAGTCTTCGGGCAAGGGAGGAGGCGTTCATCTAATACCCCAAGCTCAAACAAACGCTTGACTGCAGCAAACGCGACAGCACGCTTGGCTTCTCGTTTTGACTTCTTTGCCGGTCCGGTGTAGCAAAGTTCTTCACGCGGAAGACAGAGGGAAGGGGGCAACACGAGTGTAACTTCGAAGTCGCCGGAATATTTAGGCTGGTGAACGACGTCCCGTGGGAGACGCGAGCAAAGTTTGCTCAAGATAGCACCGGCATTATCGTACGTAAGGATAGCGCCAGTTGATCCAATGGCAAAAGATTCCCTGGGCGTAAGTTCATTGGGGTCATTTGCGCCTGTGTCCCGGTCTTCCTCGTAGAGTAGCTTCAACGTGGGTTCCTTCTCAGTGAAGAGTTGATAGCGGTTGAGTTCAGCCTTGTTTCCCTCTTCGACCATTACGACAAAAGTCGATGCCTCCGTTCGGGCTCGTCCTCGAGATTGAACATAGTCTATGATATGATGCATAGCATCAAATCGGACGACGAGATTGCAAGCCTGTTTGGAACGCTCAGGCGGAGTATTGGCATGTTTTAAGATTTACTGACTGGGAAGTCCAGACCCTCATCTGCGACCGACGTTGCAATAACTAGAGAGCAAATTGAGGGTGAGATAGACAGCTCCAAGATAAGGCTTACCAAGGTTGATGTGGCGCTCGCGAAAAGCCTGTATTGTTTCCTGCGGAGTCAAGTTGCTGCCAAATATGACTGGAAGCGAATCGTTCCCCTCCTTGTGCCCCAATAGCGCTCCACATCGGACAAGACCAACCAGTTCAGGAATGAGAGGGAGCAGATGGGCAAGACAGGCGGCAGTCTGCCGTTGCTCAACAAAGACGATCCCATATGAGTCGGACGTCATATGGGCTAGCAGGATGTCGACAAGAGTATAGAGTTTGTTGGAGCAATGGGTCAGCGACATCGAGCCGGGTTCGACGAGGTAAACATATTCGTTCAAGATAGATTGGACTTGTGCAACTTCGTCCGCTATTCCGATGAATACCAATTCTTTCAGGTCGGCCTTTTGCAGCGCGCAAGTCACTTCGAGATAGACACATAAGGAAGCGCAATGAAGGCCCAAGTTGTTGCGCGTGGAATGATGTCGTCTTCGGACGGAGTCCCAGTCGATGCTGAGCTGATCGAACAAAGTGACAAAAACATCCAAATAGTCCATCAGTGTCCAAGTCAGATTGGCATCCACCTGAACCTTATAGAGCTTTACCTCCTGCAAACTTGAGAAATTGACGCGAAATAGACTGAAGGAATACCTCAACAGCTTTGGGAGTATAGACATGCATTTCCTTCAAATGGCGGGATACGGTCACAATCGCGGCATCTAAAGATCGCTCTAGAACAGCCATCGAGCCAAGGACGTCGCGGATATTCCAGATAGGACTTGCAGTCATGCCGAAGATTTTGGGACGCTAAAATGATGGGGTTAGGAATTGCTTTGTCAGATCAGGTTCGAAAACATACGACGGAGTCAGACAACTGGAAGTATCCACGCATGATTACGTTATAAGGATGGCTCTTCTGCGTGTGGTGACATTCGTCGAAGATGAGGAGGGAGATTTGTTCCATAGACCATAATCCGTGGGTTAGGAGGTTGACCAAAATTTGAGCTAAGGTGGGTCAGACCGATTCAGGTGAGTGTGACGAACTTACGAGTCATAACGGCAACATCATGGAGGCTGAGTTTTCGTTGCCAGGCCTCTCTAAGAAGTCGTCAGTAACAAGGGATTCTGAAGAGGCAGGTATACTTGTCGGAGAGGGGAATATCAGCCATGGCTCCCCAGAGCCGATCAACTCTTAAGGCGCTTTTGGATGTAATGAATTCCGCTTGCTGTTGGACCAAGGCGGCTTTGGGTACGAGGAAGACTGTTTTCGCATTCGTGCGGGTGGAGGAAATCCATTTGATGAGTAGAAGACTTATAAAGGTCTTGCCAGTTCCCGTATCGAGCGCAGCGATGATGTTCTCTTGTTGTGCTCGCTCTAGTATCTCTTCTTGATACAGTCGTGGAACCATGTCCTGTCCCGTCGTCATGGTCTAAAGGCAAGGCAAACTGTGCAGTTCACGTGAAAGACTGCAAAGCAAAAGGGCGATCAGAAAGCATATCGATACAAAAAGTTAACTTTAAAGATACACGTGATGGATCATACAGTCATTCATCATCCACTGGCTGTCCTCGTCGATAAGCGTTCTCAAGCGTATGCTCTACAGTCTGGACAAGAGCAGGGTTTTCTAATGCTGCAGCAACGCGCTCCTTGTCATTGAGTTGCTTGTTAACTGAACCGGTTCAATCCAAGCCTCGACCATGACTGATGGCACTCACCAGCTAATTCGCTCTGGTGTGAGCCAGGCTTGAGAGTGATGTCGACTTTGAATCGACTGGGGAGGGCCCGTAAAAGCCTGACGCGGATCGAGAGGCCGATGAGGGTCGACATGCCACAATGGGGTACGGTTGGAGTGAATTCTACATGGACACGATTGCCTTGAATGGATATTTGGGGTGCAGACACTACACGCAGTTCTTCGAGTGTGTTTGGATGTTCAGGGTCGGCAATCGAGCGAATCAAGTCTATGCGGTGTCAGATCAGCAGCATATAGAGGATAAGAGTCGTTACCAAAAATTTCTTCATTGTCTATGGGTTCAGGCGCGTCGTCTGATTCATCGGCGTTGGCATCTGATTCAGCATCGTGGAGCCAGAGAGGAGCGGCTCTGGATGCTTTGGTTGGAGCAAAAATAGTTGGATTGGGATTATAGACTTCGACCATGAAAACGATGAATTGATTTGGCCAGGTTCGTGGAGGGATGGTGAGAGTTTGAAAGAATAAAAGGTCACAGTCACGGCGCGTGTCACTAATTGCTCTTACCGACGCGCCGCGACGAGCCATGCCTCCCAAAGTGTGTGCCACTCATAATATGGGAATATTCACTCATTTCGATGTAGAGAAAACGCGATACAGAACCAGTCGAGGCTGCGCCAAGCCGCAGTACTAGAAGTAATGCTCGGTCTTCCAATGCGTCCACCAGTAAAGACGCGTCGCCACCACCCGCGAAGAAGACAACCCGCAAGAAGAAGACCGACGATGCCTCCGAAACGGCTCCCGCACCCAAAAAGGCCAAAACTACTGCCAAAAAGCCGGCTGCTAAGAAAGGCAAGAAAGCAGTGGACGATACGTGCGCATATTAATCATATTTTCCCATTAACATTGCTGATCTTCATCATCCTCCATGCCTCTTCCTCGCGTCCCTTCTACCATGCTGCACTCTTCACATTCCGCAAATATTTTAGGGACGATAACGTAAGTATTTATTTGTCTGACCCGTTGCTGCCAAATATGTGACGTGACACAGAGCGACGCTGAACTCAAGCTGTGAGTGTCTACAGCCTATTTTCTTTGCCCTCCTGCATGTGGACACGCGCCCATGTCCCCCTTTTCTTCTCTTTGCAGTTGTCTCAACCATGAATCTCCCCCTCATAGTGACGACGACACGCAGAGTAAGTCTCCACCTACTCCCACACTGGTATGTTTCCCGTCCCCTTCTCCCGCGCCAATGCTAGCTTACCGTCAATCATCAAGGTCTCTACACCTCCAGCACCAATGCCTGCCCCATCCACTCTCGCTGAGCCCAAACCTATAGCCTCTGCGCCACCCCCAACCAAGGCTGCAGCAACCAAATCAACTCCTGGCAAAGTCGAGCCTTACAGTGCTGAACGCGCCGCTTCCATCTTCACCAAGTATGCCGACGAGGATGACCCAAATGTCATCGGTCCAGAAGGTCTCGAGCGCTTTTGCACCGACGCCGAGATACCCCTCGAAGGCGCACTTCCACTAATCATCGCCTGGCAATTAGACGCGAAGGAAATGGGCAAATTCACCAAGGAAGAGTGGACCAAGGGAACGGACTCTATTAGGTATGTGCGCCACTTATTCCCTGATGGGTGACGAACTCCTCTCAGAATTTCTTCTCTACCTCAACTCGCCATGTTTGCCTCCGACCTCGAGCAATTGCTAACCAAAGGCAAGGCCCCAGCGAAGAGCGGGAACAAAAAGGACCCGTACGACCGTAGCGCTATAAGCCGATATACTGCGGACCCCAAAGCGGCTTTCCAAACTTTCTACTCTTATTGTTTCAGTTATGCAAAGCCCGAGTACATTCATTCACATCCGTTCAGAGCACATATTAACTCTTTAATCCAGACAATCTCGCAACATCGACATGGAGGCATGTTGACTGGATTCTCACACATGCGCTCGACTGATACAACAACAGACTTCGGTGGCGTTGTGGGGTGTTCTGCTTACCCCTCAATATCCTATCATGAGCGAAGTCCTTGAGTTTATTGGCGTGCGTCCGGTTTATTGTGCCCAACCGAGTTTAATTGGCTGCAGGAAAAGGACGGAGCATATAAGGCGACCAACAAAGATCTCTGGAGCATGGTGGGCATCCTCCTTTTCCCTATTTCACGTTCCGACCTATGACAGATGCTCGAGTTCTGCCGCACGATCAAGCCTTCGCTGCAAGACTACGAGGCCGATGGGGTATGTCCGGGAATGCACTATTGGTTCACGCTAATTCAATTGCAGGCGTGGCCGACCCTCCTCGATGACTTTGTTGCTTGGAAGAAGGAAAAGATGGGCAACGGAGCTGTAAATTAATCATCATAGGATACCTTATATGCAACTTGCTAGAATGGACAGCTCTGAAAGGTGGCATTTCCCCCAAAATGCATAACGACGCTGCCGACTCGTTTGACCTGGAAAAAAACGTGGGTGTCATGGCTCGCGGCGTTCAGTGATTTGTAAGCCCATCCGTGGTTATGAACAAACTGTTGCGAATGCTCGTTCTGGGTAGCTCAAAACTCGTAAACGTAGGGGTTGTGGGTGCTAGTGGACTTTGTTTGGTCGTCGGGAGCATCTAATCGGAATTAGACGCGCAATGAGGTCATGCCACCTCTTGAATTCTATCTACAAACACGAGGCAACGGCACCAATCTGGATATATGCCTTCAAATCTCACCAAGAGCGTCTGTCTTTCCCCCCTCTTTCTCCCGCTAGAGCTGTATGCAATCCACATATTCGACGACAACAGACGTCAAGATCCACAAGGCGATTCGGCGCGAATGGGAGGGCTTTCTGGGCTGGCTGGTGACCCGTCAACACGAGATGCAGTTCCGCGCGACGGGCCAGAAGCCCGCAAAGCTCCGACAAATGCAAGAGGTGCTGCTTGGCGAGGCCCGCAAACGGTGGCTTGCTTGTGTCCGAGCCCGTCAGTTGCATCTAGAGCATTGGGTGATGACTGAAGAAGAAAAAACTGCTGTGAAGCGCACATTGGGTTGGAGTCAGAAGGAGATGGTGGATGCGTATGCCGCGGAGCAGGCGGCATTGGGCGCCAAATACCAAGTTGTCGACCCAACAACGCTAGGCATTGATGAACCGATTGCGGGGAGTAGCAAGGGTTCCCCTTGGCAGCGATATATGCATCCAGTGAGTCTTGTTTAAACTTCCTTATCCGCCAATTGACTTGGTCTATAAGCCGGGGGAAGCTCCTGCTTATGCCAATTGGGCGGCTGAAATATCGAGGAATACCAAGTCTCCCGCAGCTCATCCAAGCCCCGGAAAACAGTTGCCTGGCGCCAGCAGCCCTCGCAGTGTCGATATTCCAACGATGCCGCTATATTTCATTGGCGCAATAATGCATGGAACCGACCTCGACGCTGTTGCTGCCGCTGAACTCGAGAAATATGCTCTCAATGCGGCGAGAAGGCAATCAAAGAATACTACCGGGACGCCTGTGATGCAACTGTCCAGTTTCAACGGCATATCGGTGAGCTGGATGAGTCTCAGCGTGAGGGAGCGCAGGCTGGTTTCGATGACAAGATGCGGGAGCTTGCTGCAGGGAAGGAGCGGGAGTGGAAGACTAAAGTTTTGGATAAGATGCGGAAACATCAGGCTGCTGAACTGAAGAAACGGGCGGACAAGTTGAAGCATCGGTCAACAAAGTCACCTAAGGCTCGCCCTCGCGGCTATGACCATTACGATGAGTGGGATTATTTGGAGGACTATCGACCATACCAAAGCCCTCAAGCTGATCATGTCGATCCTTATGGGTACGAGTATGGTCATGGCCAAGGTTACGATGAATACGGATATGGAGCAGCAGAAGGCGCTGATTATGGGTACGGGTATGAGATGCCAATTTATAACAACAGTCCACGAGAAGGAAAGCGAAAGCCAAAGAAGAAAGCCTCACGGAAACCGAAACAAAAACAACAGCAAGAAGTAGCTCAGCATCAACACCCACAAGATCTGAATGAGGAGCTGTACTATTATCCCGAGCAAGTGAGCGCTTTCGTCTCTCCGCCTGGACTGAGACGGAAGAATGCCTTGCACAGAGAGCCAGAGTACGAATACGACTACTACCCAGATCAATGGCAGCCGATGGAGGACAAACTGGGGCCGGATCCAGACGAGTACTACATGGAGCGAGTGCAGCCACGCAAAAGGTCATGGTGGACAAGATGGCTTCCGTGAGTGTTTGCGGCGATGTTGTATGCCTGCTGATGCTTCTTAGGGGAACAAAACCCGACAGACAAACGATGTCCTCATTCGATTGGATGGAGAGCCAGAACGGACCGCAAGCAAGCTCATCAAAAAGCGTAAAGAAGAAAAAGGAACCGAACGGGGATTGGTGGGGTGGAAATGGGGAGGAAGTGCTGTCAGAGGAAGAGTTTCCGATGCGGACGAAAAAGAAGGGCGGCTGGAAAAGCAAACTGGGCTGGGGCAATCCAAGTCCAACGAGTACAGACATTGGCTGGGCCACTCCATCCGACCAGGAATACCAGAATTGAAGAAAGAGAGACAGCGAATACGGTTCGGAAAAGTTGGCAACTATCGAGGAGGACAGTCGAGATTCATCGAGACGTTCAGTCCAAGAACAACATCTGTAGCTTCGTGAGAGCCCGAATTGAATTGGCGCTCACCCAGAGCCCTTCCCCCATCCCTTGACTCACCCATCGCAAAGGCTCGCAGCTCGCTAAGGCTCGCGCGAGTGCTCGTAGTTATATACAATTTTCTGTGTATTACGCTATTTACATACATGATTCTAGTACCCGTCGCGTCCACCTCCCCGATCATCTCCTCCTCCCCTGCGCATCCCACTCCCGCTTCCACCGGCTTCTCATCGGCTCAACATCCCCGTTTGCCCCCCATCTCTCCCTCCCACCTCCAACAAAAATCAAGAAAATCCATGGAGAACTCGCCGAGAACGCCTTTTGATGGAGCGCGTCGCGTCGTGCGCAGCTGCTGGACATCAGCAAATTTGAATAAACAAAGTGGAAAACAGACGCACCTGACCGCGATTGGCCAAGGCAAACCAAAGTGACCGCCAGCACAACAGGCAAGGTAGTCGGCACGTGGCGAGGTTTGCGGGCTTCATTCTCAGAACATGGAATTGCAGGACTGAGAAAAATGAAGGTGTTGGCAGCGTAGAGGGCAGGAAGCTCGCAGCCGCATTGACAGCGAGAAGAAATGACAGCAGCGGGAGAGTGCGCGCAATTGCGATAGTGCTGCTGGGGGTGGATTGGCCAGCGCAGCGAGAGTGTCGAGGGAGTTGGAGACAGTGGCGGCAACATGACCGGGGCAATTGGCCCAGTTTGACACCTGTCCTCGTTGCTCCAGCAAACCCGACCCAGTCAGCAGCACCCAAGTTGTCAATAGGAGGGGATGGGCGGCGCTTGAATAGACCACCAGGAAAGTCGCGCCGAGTATAACGACAACGTGATATTGCTTAGCCAACCTGTTCGTTGACAGCGCAAAAGCAATGGCGGCCAGCGCAGCGAGTCGGCCAGCACTAGTCGCGAGGACGGTGGTGATGTCGAGGGAGTTGGAGACAGTGCCAGCGGCAACATGGCCTAGTTTGACCCCACTCGTTGTTGTTGTTGCTCTGACCACCCCGACCCAGTCGCCCGCTGCTGTCTCGGTTCACAGCAGCACCAGACTGAGAAAAACAACGAGAACCGCCAGAGTCGTGGTTCCCGCAAATTCCAGTGGTCCGTAGAGTTGTCGCGACTGCAGAGGTGTTGCCAAAAGGTTTGATGGGCAACACCAGCTAGCAAGCGGGAGATGTGGTGGGTTGCAGAAATGGAGCGGAGAGGAAGGTATCGGATGACAGCGCCGGGACGGTGATATCGTGAGAGTCGGTCGGACAGCAGTTAGCGGGACGGGGGCGCGATGGGTAACGCGTGGCGGGCCAATGCCTGGGAAAGCGCCAAGGCTGAGAACAGCGCATAGGGGCTAAGTGATTGAAAACACGTCGCGAGGTTGTGGGCTAGATGGATGAATGTTTACTGTCGAGTGTGCCGCTTGCCAGTCCCAGTAATGACTAGTATTGGCCTGACGGAAGCCAGACCACAACAACGCGGCTACCCTGGCTGCGTTGTTGACTGACTTCGTAGAGAACGGACCACCGCGCCGGAATTGACCTGTTGTTATGTCTGGTTTGAAGCGACAAGGACGATGTGATGGCGCGGTGAAGGAAAGGGAACGGAGGGTGATGGGAACCACAGGCGTGTGATGGCCGCACAGCCGTGGATCAGCGGCGGACATCTGTGAGGAAGGGTTAGACGATGGACGGAGAAAACAAAAGAGTTAACACACACACATGAGAAGTGGGTCGGCAGCAAATAGCTGCCAACGTTAACTTTGATAGGCCAGCCGGTTTGTTTGCCTCCGGCAGCAAAACCCCGCGAAAAATGAGCTGATATAACGTTTTTGAGCGCAGAATAGCTGCCCAAAATCATCGGATAATCCGGATCATTGATCGGATCGGCGGCCGGCAGCATCGGCAACGTGTCCCGGGACACGGCACATCACCTCCGGGCCTAATCGTAGGGTTCAGTTCATCAAGAATGGGGATTTTGTGAATCATACCTGGCGGGATCCTGCTGCAAATGACAGCAGCCGCAAGGTTGAGCCCAGGCGGTTATGCGTCGCCTCCGGCGGCAAAATATCTGGTAAAAGTGAGTTATTTTCGAGTGAAAATGACAACAGGAAGGCGCTTACGTAATCACAGATTTACATCCAATTTGGCGTTAAAATCCCCCCCAAAAAGGAGTATGTGAGGGGAAAGCAATCAACACACACAGAAGCAGCCCGCCTGTGGTCCATGAGCCGCAAGTGGGAATGGACGACGTCCATCCACTAGGGCGGGCACGCGGCCGCAAGCTGAACAGGCAATGACAATGATTAAGCTAGTCATAAAGACGGGTTGACAGCGCTGTCGCCCGCTGCGGGCGCAAAGACTTGAGTGAGCAAATCCTGAAAGTCTCCGTCAACAACATGCTTAACATGAATGGAATTAACTCACCAGTGTCGCGTAAGCGCAAAAGCACACGATGTTCCAGCATGGTGGCCACCAGCTCGAAGCCCCGGGTTGGTCACTAGGGCTTGACGAACTGAAGAACTTGGAGACTCCGCACTGCAGAAAAACCATGAGAACGTGATGCAAGAAGGGGAAAAACAAAAACATACCACTGGCATGTCAGCGCTGTCGGGGCTCACCATATAAAGAACATAGTTTTGGGCGCAAAGACAAGTGGTAGATTCTTGTTGTTGATAGTCGTGTGACTCTAATAGTTGGCCGAGGGGCGCGGAATTTG